ATGTAACAAAAGTAAACACACAGAGAACAACGCTCAGTAGACCACTAATTTGATCTGAAACTTGGCAAAATGGAAGAAAATAATGTGCGAAAGAGCAAAGGGAGGAGAAGGCAGTTGCTAGCTGACCACTCATTTACCTGAGAGAAACTGCCACCTGACTCCTCAGAAGAAATCGAGGAATCTGAACATTCGGTTGATTCAGAAACTCCAGCCATAGTCCTGCACCCAAAAAGACACAGAAAGAATTGTCTTTGCGCGAACTCCAGGTCAACATAATCGATGCTGTCACTGCAAAGATAAACCAAAGAGCCGATGGTCTGGAGAAAATGATACACGAAAACTCACAAAAAATCGTTGACCTCGAGGCCTCTCTGAATAATGCATACGAGAGTATAGAAGAGCTTAAACGTGCAAACACTGCATAGGAGAAGTCCATCGCCGACATGCAAGAGCGCTTGTCAGAAGCAGAGCGATACCGGAGAAGGTGGGGGCTACGGCTTTATGGTGTCCCCGATGACCAGGGTGAGAATGTGAAGCGCATAGTAAGTGACATCTGTAACCGTGTGGCTCCGGACTTCCCCGAAGGATAAATGGCTGTGGATGTCGCTCATCATATTGGGAAGAAGCAAGTTGCCATCAGCAGCCGCTCGATCATCATCATCCAGTTCGCTTTCCGCACAGCGAGAGATGCAGTTTGGAATAAAGCAAAGGAAAGCGCCTTTCTGAAAGGGAGAGAAATTAGATTCGGAGAGGACCTGACTGCAGCAGACAAGGCAGCAAATGCAAAGTTGTGGCCTCTCGTCCAACAGGCCCGAAATCAAGGAAGGGGTGCATACTACAGGGGAACCAGAGCCTTTTTCGCCAACGGAAAATAAATTCGACCAGGGTGAGCGTTCTAGTTTTGAATTCTGCTGTTATGGTTTACAAGTTAAGACTTATGTTAATACATATATGAAGCACCTTTTATAGAGAGGGTAGAGTTGAGATTGCATAGGATTTTCCTTTCTATTTTGTATATATGGATTTGAAGTTTGTCAATCAATGCCAGGGGAAACGAAACATTTACATTTAAGTAATTTAGCAGACGCTCTTATCCAGAGCGACTTACATGAGCAATTAGGGTTAAGTGCCTTGCATAAAGGCACATCGACAGATTTTTCATCTAGTCGGCTCGGGGATTAGAACCAGCGACCTTTCGGTTCACTGGCACAACGCTCTTACCCACTAAGCTACCTGTTGAAGAGGAAAGCTTTTTTGTTTAGTTTTGTAAGGACTGCAACGCAGATCTTGTATTCGTTCAAGAAACACATTCATGCAAAGAGGATTATAATTTTTGGAAAAATCTGTGGGGCAGTGACCTTTTCTTGGCCCACGGGACTAATCATTCAGCTGGGGTTGCAAGTTTAGCACACAATTTCAAAGGGACATTTTTGTTTACTCAAATGGACACCAATGGACATTGGGTAGTAGCGGTCATCAACCACATGGACAGATTATTTGTGTTGTGTAATGTATATGGATACTGTTCTAGTTATCCAAATAACTTACTTCTAGAGGAAATTGAGGAAATTCTTAAAAGTTTTCTGAGAAAATATCCATCCACTCAGATTATAGTTGGTGGGGATTTTAATATGGTTTATTATAATGAGACTGATAGATTGCCCCATAGGCCTAACATTGGTGTGAACAAATTGGTGAATTTCTGCCAAAGCCTGGACTTAATTGACATATGAAGAGTAAAAAACCCTGGAGAGAAACAGTACACATAGAGTAATAGAGATCGTTCACTACAATCAAGAATTGACATGTGGGTGATAACCTCTAGTCTTGAGCCCAACACTAGAGGTACTGCCTGCAGTCCTGACGGATCATGAAGTCATATGGCTGACTGTGAGAATGTGCAGTAATGATGATAAGAAATACTCTGGTGGTTATTGGAAATTGAATAACTCATTGTTATTGCATGATGATTTTAAAAATGTGATTAAGAATCTAATTTCTGTTTACTGGAATTTAGCTACCTCTAATGCAGAATATGGGAAATATTGGGAACTGCTGAAATTTAAAATCCGCTCAGCCTGTATTACTTACGGGAAATGGCTTGCTTTAAGAAGGAGATGTAAAGTAGCTGAGCTCTCTCAGGAAATTGCTGATATTACAGAGATTGAGCATCTTGATCTTAATGAAAAAGCTAAATTGAATGATTTACAGAATCAACTAGATATATTTTATGAGGAAAAGGTTTGCAGAGCCTTCATAAGATCCAGAAAACAATGGCTTGAAAAAGGCGAACAGAACAGTAGATACTTTTTTAATTTGGAAAAGAGGAGGGGGAACTCGACACACTTCGGAAATTTAAGATTAATGGGGTAACCTCTGAGGATAGAGCGTTGTTATCAGACTCTACCACTACATTTTATGATAATCTTTACTCATTAGATAACAGTTTGAGTGACTCTAAGGATCTCCTTGGTTCTATAGAGAATGTTAACTCTGTTAGTGAAGAATTAAATCGGTCTTGTTGTGAAGATTTATCCATTATGGACATCCAATATGGGGTTGCTCAATTAAAAAATAACAAGTCTCCAGGTTGTGATGGATTAACCTCTGAATTTTACAAAACCTCCTGAAGAAATAGCACAATTCTTACTTGAAACCTTTAAAGAGAAGGGAGAACTGCCTCTCTGAAACAAGGGGTTATTACTCTTATACCTAAACCACAAAAGGATCTCTTAATTATTGATAATTGGCTTCCAATCACACTCCTAAATAACAACTACAAAATGATAGCCTCAATCTTTGCGAAAAGGTTAAAGTCGTGCTTGAATGATCTGATTAATGAATGTCAATCAGGGTTTATGAAAGGGCGCCATATATCTAATAATCTGAGGCTGGTGTTAGATTTGGTTGAGTATTGTGATGACTCCCCTGTTATCTTATTTTTGGATTTTCAGAAAGCATTTGATACCATAAGTCACAATTTTATCTTTGATTGTATGAAGCATTTGAAGTTTGGTAATTTTTGTTGTTGATGCTATTAGAACTCTGTATAATGGTAGCAATAGCTGTATCAAACTCTGTCATGGAACATCCTCAAGGTTTAACATTTACAAAGGAATACGACAAGGTTGTCCAATCTCACCTTTTTTATTTATTTTTGTTTCTCAAACCTTATGCTCCTTAGTTTATCAAAGTCCATTTGAAGGCATTACATTCCAGGCCAGAGAGATCAAGATATCCCAACTGGCGGATGACACCTCACTTTTTTTGAAAAATGTGTCACAAGCTAGATTAGCATTGGATATTGTGAAGCAGTTCTCCAAAATCTCAGGTTTGGTATTAAATCTTTCCAAATGTGATATGTTGGTTCTGAAAGGAGCTGTCAATCCAGCAGATTGTAACATCTCTGAAAAAGATACTGTAACCTACCTCGGTGTAAAGATCACCAAAAATCTTAAGGCTGTGAATGATCTTAATTTGAATCCTGTAACTGAATCTATCAATAATAAATGTTCCTCATGGTCTTCAAGTAAGGGTGCTTTTATCCAAAGCTGAGGGGCTATCTTGTGCATCCTATCTTTCCCAAATCCACTTGCTGTACCTTAGATAGGCTATTGTACAACTTCATATGGAAAAACAAGCCACATAAGATAAAAAGAGATGTTATTACCAACAGGGTTTGTGATGGTGGTCTAAATGTTAGACTTCACTCTCTTTAATCAGATATTGAAAGTCAACTAGGTTAAAAGGTACTTTAAAAATCCTCATAGTTTCTGGAATATTATACCTCATTTTGTTTTTCAGAAGCTCGGAGGGCTTAATTTTTAACTACAATATCCCTATATTGTTTGTAAACTTCCTGTGAAATTGGCGGCTTTTCACAAGCAGGCTTTAATGTGCAGGGCTTTGCTATATAAACACAACTTTTCACCTCATAAATGTTTCATATGGAATAGTGGGTCGATATTACATAGAAACAAGATTTTACTGTAACTGGTTCTCGAAAAACATTGTCCTTGTCAGCCAATTAGTTTAGTATTAGTGGGAATCTATTTACACTGAGATAATTTATGGAAAGATACAACTGAGGTGTCAAGCAAGGAATATGACACTGTTATAAAAGCTATACCTAGTGGGATAAAATCTTTACTTCAGAATAATGCATATTTTGGAACATCTCCTATTGTAAGCGATATCCAAGCGAATGGCATAGGTTTACTAGATAAGAAATTCAATAATTGTTTTTTAAGGGATATTTTCTACAGGAATTCTATTCCTTCTGCTATATTTTATTGGGCTTCATCTTTTGATGTAAACTGGCGCCATGCTTGGCTCACTCCACACAAATGTATGGTGACCAATAAAGTAAAGGAGATCACCTTTAAGATTATCCATAGATTCTACCGGTGTAATAGCCTGATTTCTAAATATATACTGATGTTACTAGTGAATGCAGTTTTTGTGAACTAGAAACGGAATCTATTGAACACTTATTTTGTAATTGTTTACATAGTGAGGTGTTCTTGACTGATGTACAACTATATCTTGGCAACAAAATGCATACAACCATTGAAATATCTAAGTTTGACATATTATTGTACTACACTGATTCCACAATTGAACGTCAGTATGTCATAAATCTCTTTATTCTATTAGGAAAATGTTTCATACACGAATCAAAATGTATGAAGAAAAGGCCCCTTTAATTTGATCAGATTTGGAAAACTATTTTGCATCATTAAAACGTATACAAAACAAAATGTCAAAAAAATGTATTCGTTACATGTCTGTATTTGATTTGATATAATGTGGATTTGTATTATTATAATTTTTTCTCTCTTCCTTATTTCTTTGCGTAATCCCTCTGCCTGTTCTGTTTTTTGTAAATAAATAAAACCTCGCTCTGTTGAGAGCGTGTCACCGTACGTCATTACGAAGCACGCCAGCAGTATAAATTCGTTCCTGTTGACGTAACCAGTCTCTTCCCTGCCTATGCCCTTGTGAGGTGGGCAGTGTAATATCGCGTGTCGTCTTTTCCACGAAGCGAATCCACAACCATCCGTCAAAATGGTGAGTAAGCTAGTTAGTTTATTTCGGGGAATAGTGTGTTCATGGTGTCTGCTACTTCAATATGTAACTTTTAAGTATATAAATGTCTGTTGAAACTAAGATGATAGTTTGCGGTAACTTGGGCTTGGAACAAAATGGCACCCATTTTTTGTGAACAGACCTCTTCTTGCCGCAGAGCAGTGCCGAAACCCAAATGGACCAGACTACGCCCGTTTTCACCCGGTTTTATAATGCCCCATGTCAAAGAGACCACCTTTGCCTGTCATGTCCTTCCAATTAGGTACTAGCGTGACACTAAATGTCGATGTGCCGGTCAGTCTCGTCTTGTTCTCTTGCTGGCGGTCTATTGTCAGCCAAGTCTTATATTGCAATATTGGCCGCGTCGAATTGTCTTAACTAGCTTCTAGTTATGTTAACGTTATTTGTCCCATATCCAGCAACGCTAACGCTGTCTGTGCTAACTAGCTAGTTAAGTTTGCTTGCTAGCTGACGTTAGTTAACCGGCTAACGGTATGTTGAACGTCGGACGTAACTAGCTGTACACGTGGCCTATTCAGGCTGCGCTGTCTGAAAGCGCTTGTCTCTTCTTGACCATAATGGTTGTGCTCGAATTGAAATCTGCTCAGTTTGTAATTCAGGAACAGCTGTTTGTTATAACGTTATTATAACGTTGTCTAGCTACGTTAGCGCACTACCTACTTTGTGCGATTAAATTGCAGGTGTAGTTAACGTTAGCTAGCTGACGTGTATCTTTTTCTGGCAACTCTGCTTCGCGGCCTAACGAAACCTAGCTAGCTAGCTGCTTTTGTCAGGTTGCATGGCGGTTGCTAGCCAAATGTCCCATCGTGGACTCATTGCCATCCAAGACGCACCATGATTTACCTCACTGTTGCAGTTTTTGCCTGGCGTTGAAAAATTAAAGCATGACGCCAGTTAAAGTCCTGTCGGCTAACCCGCGAGCATGCTCATGATTGTTTGCGTGCCACGGTCCGCATTGGCAATTCAATTGCATCAGCTTTCAGTGCGTCACATCTGCCATAATGGTACTGCATTGTGCATTCCACAGTTTTATAGCAAGAATCAGCAATTATCATACCTTTGTTATACCTCCTAGCTACATTGTTACAGTATAATACCTTAAATTCCCCATTCTAGAAGAGCTTGATGATGACAGTGTGGCCATGTAAATAACTACTAGGGTGACACTGCCTAAGCTGGTTATACTACTCAATATTTGGGACTTAGAACTTTATTAACAATGTGGAAGGACAAGGGAGAATAAACTACTTTTTTCCGCCCATAGGTGAACTTTACCGTAGACCAAATCCGTGCCATCATGGACAAGAAGTCCAACATCCGTAACATGTCTGTGATTGCGCACGTCGACCATGGTAAGTCCACCTTGACAGACTCGCTGGTGTCGAAGGCTGGTATCATCGCAGGTTCCCGTGCCGGAGAGACCCGCTTCACCGACACACGAAAGGACGAGCAGGAGCGCTGCATTACCATCAAGTCAACGTGAGTGTCCCCTGGCGTACTTGTGCACATTTTTCCTGACTGGCCAGAATTAGGAGTGAGGCTTCTGGTGGCCTGAATGTATTGTAGACTAAGAACACTATTTCCTTCCCTGCAGCGCCATCTCCATGTACTACGAGCTCTCAGAGAACGACATGGCCTTCATCAAGCAGTGCAAAGATGGCGTTGGGTTTCTCATCAACCTGATTGACTCTCCAGGCCACGTTGACTTCTCCTCTGAGGTCACAGCCGCTCTCCGTGTCACTGATGGGGCCCTGGTCGTTGTGGACTGTGTGTCAGGTAAGAAGGCGGACTAGCGCCCTAGTTATGTCTGACACGATCATGCTTTTAATTTCTGTAAAAAATATTGGCGTGTTCTATAATTTGTGAACAAGTATTTCTTTATTTTCAGACATCTGTCATACAGGATGTCATATTGATGCTAGGTTCGGTGATTGAGGTATATTACAAAAAGGAGTAGGAGCCAGTCAACAACCAAACAAACCAATCCATTAGTTTTAAACATTTTCCTAGCTCACTGTCTGCTCTTGTCCTTCCCTACCCAGGTGTGTGTGTGCAGACCGAGACCGTGCTCAGGCAGGCCATTGCTGAGCGTATCAAGCCTGTGCTGATGATGAACAAGATGGACCGTGCCCTGCTGGAGCTGCAGTTGGAGCCTGAGGATCTGTTCCAGACCTTCCAGCGCATTGTGGAGAATGTCAACGTCATCATCGCCACCTACGGAGAGGACGAGGGCGGTCCCATGGGCGCCATCATGGTAAGCAACTTATTTTGGCTGTATAGTGCAATGTCAGAAATGGTTGAATATCAGCTGTGAAATTGTGGCATTGCTCCAGTTCTGTTTTGCACCCAATGGCAAAACTGCAGTTTACATGAATATTGAAAGCATTTCTCTGTAAATGGAATACTAGCTGCTTTGTCTCAACCCCACCCCAAGTAGTGAACACAAGTGCTGTCAAACTAACGACTATTGTGTCACAGATTGACCCAGTCATTGGAACTGTTGGCTTTGGGTCTGGACTTCATGGCTGGGCCTTCACCCTGAAGCAGTTTGCTGAGATGTACGTGATGAAGTTTGCTGCCAAGGGTGATGCACAACTAGGACCAGCAGAGCGCTGCAAGAAGGTGGAGGACATGATGAAGAAGCTGTGGGGTGAAAGGTGAGGACAACTCACTGTCGACCTTGTAATCATCCAGAACTGGCTACTGATTTAAGATTGCCTGGTACATGTCAAGTTTGCAGTGTAGGTAAATGGTGATATTTTCTTCCCCTTCAGGTTTTTCGACCCAGCCACTGGCAAGTTCAGCAAGTCTGCCACCGGACCTGATGGAAAGAAGCTCCCACGTACCTTCTCTCAGCTCGTGCTGGACCCCATCTTCAAGGTGAGTGGGGACATGACTTTCCCAGTGTTTGCAGTTTGGTCGGGTGAAAGGGATACCAGCCATATACCTATCTGACCAGGAAAGCACATTTCTTATTGTGCCATTTAGCGCTTTATGCCTATGAGTGATGACTTTAACATTCTTCACTTTGACCTGATTGTCCAGTGATGATAACCTTCAGTCTGACATGCATGGCGAAGGCAATGCTATAGTTAACTCTCCCCATATGATCGCATCTGTGTATTATTGTTGTCCACCCATGTTTTACTTCTGTTTCTGTTATAGGTGTTCGATGCCATCATGAACTTCAAGAAGGAGGAGACCGCCAAGCTGATTGAGAAGCTAGACATCAAGCTGGACAATGAGGATAAGGAGAAGGAGGGCAAGCCCCTGCTGAAGGCTGTGATGCGTCGCTGGCTGCCAGCCGGAGAGGCCCTGCTTCAGATGATCACCATCCACCTGCCCTCTCCTGTCACTGCCCAGAAGTACCGTTGTGAGCTGCTTTATGAAGGACCTGGTGACGATGAAGCTGCCATGGGTAAGACTACTGCCTCTGTCTCCTTTCCTTCATCTGCACTCATCTGGAAACATGGATGGTACTGTATACCGGTCTATGTTAACCCAACTGTTTCATCTTAGGAATCAAGAACTGCGACCCCAAGGCTCCCTTGATGATGTACATCTCCAAGATGGTGCCCACCACCGACAAGGGTCGCTTCTACGCCTTTGGCCGTGTCTTCTCTGGCTGCGTGTCCTCTGGCCAGAAGGTGCGCATTATGGGACCAAACTTCACCCCTGGAAAGAAGGAGGACCTCTACATCAAACCAATTCAGAGGTTGGTACACTCGAAAGCTACACTTCAAATTACCATACTTTGTAATTTGTCTTGTGCAGTCTATGAAGGACATGTAAATCATTTGTGACGATGCAGTGAGCCCAAAGTGCATTCAAGAGTAACACTGTACATGCTGTATAAGCTCTTGCACTGTATTTATCTGTTTACTGACTTGCCCCTGTTCCTCGTTAGGACCATTCTGATGATGGGACGTTACATTGAGCCTATCGAGGACGTGCCATGCGGGAACATTGTTGGTCTGGTTGGAGTGGACCAGTACCTGGTGAAGACCGGTACCATCACTACCTTTGAGCAGGCCCACAACATGAGGGTGATGAAGTTCAGCGTCAGCCCTGTGGTGAGAGTGGCAGTGGAAGCCAAGAACCCTGCTGACCTGCCCAAGCTGGTGGAGGGCCTGAAGCGTCTGGCCAAGTCTGACCCCATGGTGCAGTGTATCATCGAGGAGTCTGGAGAGCACATCATCGCTGGAGCCGGAGAGCTGCATCTGGAGATCTGCCTCAAGGATCTGGAGGAGGACCATGCCTGCATTCCACTGAAGGTACACTAGTCCTCCATGCTTTTTTACATGTGGCTTCACATGATCCCTTCTACAATGGTGTCACGGTACAAGCAGTATTATGCTACTGATGTATTTAATAAACACCCCTCCCTCCCACAGAAATCAGACCCAGTGGTTTCCTACAGGGAGACCGTGTCCGAGGAGTCTGATCAGATGTGCCTGTCCAAGTCCCCAAACAAACACAACCGTCTGTACATGAAGGCCCGGCCCTTCCCTGACGGCCTGGCTGAGGACATCGAGAAGGGCGACGTCAGCGCCAGACAGGAGCTGAAGATCCGTGCCCGTTTCCTGGCCGACAAGTACGAGTGGGATGTGTCTGAGGCCCGTAAGATCTGGTGCTTCGGCCCCGACGGTACCGGCCCCAACCTACTGATGGACGTGACCAAGGGAGTCCAGTACCTGAACGAGATCAAGGACAGCGTGGTGGCCGGCTTCCAGTGGGCCGTCAAGGAGGTGTGCAAGATTTATGGATGTAGTTTTTCCTGCTCTTAGGCAAAAGTTGTTAGTGACTTTAAAACCAGCTTACCAACTTTCAAAGATGCAGAATTGCATTCCATTTAGGGGAATACACCAAGGGTAGTTTTCAAAGTGAGGATGTTGATTTGTCAAGCAACCCAAAGTACTTGGTTCAATACCTTAAACATGACACTTGTTTTCAGGGTGCCCTGTGCGAAGAGAACATGCGTGCTGTCCGCTTTGATGTCCATGATGTGACCCTCCACACAGACGCTATCCACCGTGGTGGTGGTCAGATCATTCCCACAGCCCGCCGAGTGCTGTACGCCTGCCAGCTTACAGCACAGCCAAGACTCATGGAGCCTGTCTACCTGGTGGAGATTCAGGTATGCTTACAATTCACGTTCACAATGTTTGCTTTCAACAAGGACTAGGTCTATGATGAGAAATCATGCACCACGCTGAACAAGTGATGGATAAACCCATAAACCACAATATCTGAGACCTGGATGTACAAATGAGCTCTCAACTAGAGGCTAATGGAAGTTGACTAGAAAATGCTACAATTCTAGAATCGCACAGCTTTTGCATACCTGTTGGCGTTAACCATAGAATTCAATGTTAACCTTGTTTCCCCCTCTCCCTGCAGTGTCCTGAGCAGGTGGTGGGAGGCATCTACGGTGTGCTGAACAGGAAGCGTGGTCACGTGTTCGAGGAGTCCCAGGTCATGGGAACCCCCATGTTCATCGTGAAGGCCTACCTGCCTGTCAACGAGTCCTTCGGTGAGTGACTCGCCAACTGCAGTCCACTTTACCCTTGTCATATGCACTTATCAGGGCTATATGATTCCCTGTTGTAGTAAAAGTCTGCGGCCCTTCTGTATAATGTGTAGAACCTCATGTATGCTAATACCTGTGTTTTCTCAAGGTTTCACAGCTGACCTGCGTTCCAACACTGGTGGCCAGGCTTTCCCCCAGTGTGTATTTGACCACTGGCAGATCCTCCAGGGAGATCCCCAGGACTCTACCACCAAAATTGCTCAGATTGTGGCTGACACCCGTAAACGTAAGGGGCTCAAGGAGGGCATTCCTGCATTGGACAACTACCTGGACAAATTGTAAAAGGCTACCCTCTCATTCCCCAGCCCCATTTCCCCCCTCCAATACTGAGGGACAGGACTGTACAGATCAACATGAGCACTAACATTTGCCACAAAAAAAAGTCAAGACCGTATCAAAGAAATTTGGAAGAATTGTAAACTAAATAAAAATGGAAAATAAAAACTATTGTTGGGCCTTCATTGGGAAAGGGTTGGGGAAGTTAGCCCTGATTGGTAACAATCACCAGTAAAACAGGTGGATCAATATTTACATTTCATGTACCAGTTTGCTTATTTTATTGGGCTTTGTGTTCATACAGCATGCCATGTCCCTCATTTCAAATTGCGGTGGTTGTTGACAATACTTAACACTGCTTTGTCCATCTTTAACTCTTGTTAGTGGACCTGACATTCTTAACTCATGCTTTGGCAAACCCATTGTCACAATATAAACTTGTTTAATCTGAACATTTTATTTACAATGTACATTAGCCAGACTCATGTTTTTAATCTGATTGCATTGTTTGGTACCATTTTATGGGCACCTCAGACAATTGCCTCCTGCCGCGCAGGCGGTATACCTCGACAAGAAAAGTTAACCAACTGTGTGTTGCATTTGGCAAGCATGCAATTGTGAGTAAATGTACAAATCTCTCGAACTTGCATGAAAAAGCCAACATGCCTTACTGGCACCTGTTCAGAATGGCATCCAAACAAGACACTTGCATCTTTAATATTTACAGGCCTAAAGCATAAACTGTAAAGCTGTGGTAAACTCAAACATCAATTTCTTTCGCCATACATTAAATCGGCATCAGACAATTGTTCATTCAATATAATGATTTTCATCTATTCAAATTGATTCACTACACTGGTATGAACACGTTTGATTAGTTGATTCACCAGGTAGGCCAACAATTCCTAAAATGTATTGAATCAACAACTTTCATGGATTACTTAGCTTCCCAAAAAATGTATTTAACTTGCAGGCAGGGTTTAATTGCCCATTTCCTGTCTGAAAGTGCATCAGTGCAACTACATAATCATTTTATCAATTGTCAAAGTGAGGCAGAGGTAAGGATTTCAATTTCTGCATGTCGTTATTCACAATTCTACACAGCCAGCCATTGGAAGAGGATAAGTTTAAACCTAGCAACCAATTGGGGACTTATCTTTCATTGAGGTAAAGGTAGACTTTTTTGCAGATATTTCACATCTGTTAAATCATTATCTGACAAATACATTACAGGTAATGCTTATTTCCATCAGAAAAAACCTGCTTCTGGGAAAAAGTCCTTCAGCTCAGTCGACTGGAAAGCTGGATAATTGATTGTATTAACTAAAGCAGTTTCCCAACTCCAGTCCTCGAGTACCCCTAACACTTTGTTGTAGCCCTGGACAAACACCGGATTAAACTCATTGAGGGCTTGATTAGTTGACAAGTTGAATCCAGTGTGCTTGTCTGGGGCTACAACAACAAAAAATGTGTGCTTATTGTGGATACTCGAGGACTGGAGTTGTCCACTTACAACACAATTTCCCATTCAATACTGTATGCACAAAGATCCAACATGAATATTAGAAGTTTATAACAATCAGGTCCTGATTAGATTTACCATGTCAGCTTACCATTCATAGGCTGTGTTTACACAGGCAGACCAATTCTAATACTTTCCACTAATTGGTCTTTTGAACAATCACATCAGATATTTTCACATCAATCTTTTTCAAAGATGATCTGATTGGTCAAAAGACCAATTAGTGGGAAAATTACTGAATTGGTCTGCCTGTGTAAACAGCCTTCGAGCACTACCCTGTCGAGCACTACCCTGTGGTGAAGTGTAGTAGTAGTAGTAAAGACTCATGAGGAATAATAGAGGAGCTGTACTATTAGGCTATGCTCAAATGCCTTCTTATTGCCTAAAGTATTACTTTGCACTATATGGGCAATAGGGTGTCATTTGGGAACCACCTATAGCCAGTCCTTGGTTCGGAGTTCCCTGGGAGGTCAGAGATTGATTATGTGTAGAAGATGACCTCAGGGATCTGTCCGTCCTCTACTGAAGTGCCATTGTTGTTTCCTGCAGCATAGCAGAAGGTGAAGCAGGTCTTGGTGCCGGTGGCTGGGGCTTCGTGGGTCACTTTACGCATGCCTTTGGTGCCATAGTGAGAGTCTGGTCCCTGAAAGGCATGGATAATTGTGGTGTAGCTGTATCTCAATGGAGGATTTAAAAATGCTTCCTTAGTGTATTCAATATGTACTTGAAGACTGATCGGTTACAATGTACAGCATTTTTTGTTTTAAAAAAGTTATGTAAATGGTGGTGCTGTACCTTGAGGGTGGCACACGCGATGTAGTTGACACTGGGCAGGATCTCCACTGGTTCCTTAAACATGACCCGGAATGTGTTGGAGGAACCGTCGCAGCTGAAGCCTGTGTCGTTCTGACCCAGGACAGTGTTGCTGTCTGTGTGAATGATCTTGGAGAGGGAGACCAACGGCATTGGTCAGTATTTATTTACTTGACCTTTATTTAACCAGGTAAATAATTCGTAACAAATGATATTTCACAGTAACATGAACTACCCGAGTATGTTTCTCTACGCAGCACCCACTGTAACTAGTAGATGATATTCCTCTTTACCTGTATATTGACTTGGTAGTCTGTAGGACCATGTATCGAACCATACAGGCCAAATCCCACCACAAATATCCTCCGATTCACTGAAAACCTAGGAGAGGCAGAAAAGGATATGGAAGGTTAACCTTTACTGAATTGAGATACTATGTATGCAGTGCTTGACTTGGTCTGAAATAGGGGCCGGTACTCAATTTGGGTGCCGGTACTGTTTATATTTAGGTGCAGGAGCTCCACAATACTTTTGAGCTGATGTTCTATAAGAGGAACAGGAGCTCAAGCACTAGAACATTTGAGGTGCCCGGTGCTCAGCTCCAGTGAGCTCCTGCCCAAGTCAGGTATGTAGTCATTGGTGTGTGTGTACTAACCGGATGCAGTCACTGGTCCCACTGTAGCCCCAGCGGCTCTCCACCTGTCCGAAGCGTGTGATGCTGCACTCCTTCCCCCGCAGGCAGCAGCGAGGCCGGTCGATGAACTCCACGTGAGGCTTGGGGTTCACCGTGAAGTGAAGGAACAGGCTCACCACCTCCTGGTCACTAAGAATACCAGACTGGGCTGGACCTGTTAAGTAGAAATAGTCATATACGTACATAGACACAAAATACTCAAATCCCAATCTGGAAAAGTGACTAAATTTCACGGTTCGGTTTAGCTTGTGTCCACTGGGTCTGGTTGCCAAGTATGTTGCTACCAAATGTTTAGTGCCTTTCATAGCGTGTAACTTTGCACTCAATAGACAGACGGTGTCAGGACAGAAAACAACCACAGTGGTGTGAGCTACCTGCAGCAAATTCCTCGATGGTCATGAGAGGGAAGCGGATAAGGACCAGGGCTTTGCCCAGCACTTTGCGCTTGTTCTCTGGAGTGGGCTGGTACTGCTGCCTCTGGGTCTCTGCCTCCGCCCAGCGCACCGCTGCCCCAAACAGACGCACCTCCCGCAACCCCAGATTATCCCTCTCCAGCACCGCCACCAGCGTGTCTACAGGAGACAAGATCTCACATCATGCTCAGAACATGTCCTTTGTCTGAAGACAATCTCCTATGCCCCTTTCCCTAGTGTGTGTGATAGACAGACAGAGGGAGCATAATGAGCTTTACCTAGGTCAATATCAGTGAAGCCCTCGGCAGCGAGTGCATCCACTGTGTTCTTGTCGATGTTCTCCAGACAGAGGCTGGCCAGCTGAGGTTCGTCAAAGAGCCGCGCCTGAAACAAACAACCGGTGTTAGCAAACAGCTTGCAGCAATCATGCTGTTATCAACCGCTTGCTCTATTCTAATATCCATACCTAGTGACTATCTAGAAATACGGGGTTTTCACAGTCTTATCATTTGTAATAACCATGTTATTACAAGTCTCCATTTCCAATGACACCCTTTTCCCTATATCCCATCCTAGCCAATGGGGCGATTCCATGACAGCATGCCTCCATATTTTAGAGCACTAGGAGTATAATGACACCAAGGTGTTGTCTGTATCATGTACGGTTCACTGATCATTGGGTCTTACAGGGGGCATGTATAGGTCGAAAAAGGGCCTAAAATTGCCACTTTCATCATGATTTTCAAAAAAGAAAATGGTTGTGTTACAAATGTAAAAAGCATATCAAACATTCTTCCTCCCAATTAAGTTTCTATGTGAGAACTGCCAGAACAATCTAATATACCAAAAATATTATCGGGCCATGCTGGCATGTATAGGTCTAAATGACAAACTATTTCCCATGTCACTGTATAGGGAATAGAGATATTAATTTGAGATGTGGCCATACATTACAAGCAGCAGTGCAACTGTGAGCTAGCTACCTGAGTGAGCAGCATAAATGCATTGTCAGCACGTAGATTCTTCTTGAGGAACTCCACACAGTGGGCCTCTAGGGCTGGCACTGCATACTTCTTGGCTGTGTACAGTGTGGTCATCACAGTCTCAGGTCCTATCTGCACCTCATCTGAGTACAAGAACCTGGATTCGCAACAGTTTGCACAGTCAGACAACCCATACATACCTCGTAGTGTAGTTACAGTATCAATTTGAAGACATTATTAAAATGTCAATACTATTTTAGGGAATTTGTTAATTCAAAAAAGGCAATTTCACTACATTTAGAATTTAACCTTGAAGACGCAAATGGACCCCCTAAATTGGCTCCTTCTTAAGGACATCAAAAGGAGTAAACTGGGTAGTTGCTACTTTACAGTCAAATGGGTGTGCCAGATATGTCTTCTCTATAATCTTACTTGAGCAGGGCAAGGAATGCAGCCGGCTCCACGTCAGGCAGCTCGATCTCAGTCGAGGTGGTGGCCATACCGCCATTGAACATGGCATCGAATACTGCACTTCCTACGGCAAGGGCAAATCTGCCGAGAAAAAGAGGGTCGTGATTAATATGAGGGATATATTAATGTATTGGATAATTTGTGTTTATAACTGTAGTCTTCCTGGTCAGTCATTAGCCCAGGAGTTGCATTGATGTACGTACCCTCTACAATGATTTGCCAACATACAATGGTCATGCGCACATATGGATATATCACTACAAACAGAGGAAGCCTAGCCTACACTCGACCTCACCCACTATAGCACAATTGTCATCATAGGCACTGCAGAACATTTATATTAGGCCATGTAGGCAACTGGTGGTGAATCGAATACATAAGCATGAATAGGCAAAGATTGAATGGTTTGTAAACGAGCAAAACTGAAATAAGCATATTTCAACAATCATGCATCGCTTACCTGTGTGCTGGTATCCGCTGCACTCCCATTCCCTTCCCCACCAGAAAATGCACGTCACTCAGCACCTCGTTGTTGAACAGAAACGCAAACCTTTCTTTCACGGTGTTTTTTGTGGCCTGCCAGTTGTACACTGGCTCCCGATAAACCAATACGGCCGCAGATGCGGGGCTACTGGGAAGTGAGGATGGGATGTTCGGGGGCTCCACGGAGGCTGCTGTCGAGGCTGTCATGTTTGTCGCAGCTCCTGACGCTCCCCCTGCGGCTGTCGGTTCCCGGGCAGCCGTGGCACTCTGACCCGCTGACTGTGGCGTAGTGTGTTGCCTATTCGGGGAAGTCTCTACTCTGACATCGGCGCCACTGTCACGGCCTGGTTGAGGGTTTGAGTGTCCCGCTGTCCGTGGTGCTCCTCCAGTTGCACCCGCTGACCCCTCGTTTGTAGCGGGCGAGGAATGGGCGTTGTTGCTCGGCTGAGCATTACCTAGAGGTCCGGGACTGGAGAAATTGAGACATGGAGCTCTGCTATTGCTCTCCTCCTCCGCAGCCATTTTGGATGGAGAACACTGCAGGGTTTGCTGCTGAGATAAACAAGCACAACAGCGCATCCCCAGAAACACAGGCGGAATGAGTGAACCTCGCATGAGGCTGGAGATGGAGGAAGAAGGTGTCCTAAATTGTCTGGACACTGGACAATCAATAGCAGCCTATATTACCAAAGGCTGCATATGTATCATGATGTAATCATATTAATTTGCTATGGTTTATTAGACAAATGAACATCAATGAGTTTATGATGAGCTATTCTATTTCCCAACCATGGAGCTAGTATTTATTAATACAACATAGCAGGCTTACTTATTTGATGCACTGGTATGCAAATATGATATACTGTAGGCATACATACAACATGATTCATGTTACTTAGACCTAGCAGATAAATATGCATTCAGCTCAAATTTAATGAAAATTATTCTCCTCTCCATTGATAAGGCCTAGTCGATATATTTTATTTCTGAATTCATACATTTTAAGCTATGTTTTGTATTAGCCTACCTGTTCTCAACTTCCACAAATACATACCATCAATCTTACATTCTTCATAGAGACTGTCTATATCTAAGTTTCCAAATGTGCATGTTTGAACTACCGTTCTAGACATCTTATGTCCAATTACTAATAACTGATGATGATTAGTCGAGAAGAAAAACAACCTCCCAGGGATAGGCCTAATAGCATTGTTGTAATATCACTTTATAACCAGGAGTACATTATCACAACACATGCCAAAATAATAGCAGGAATATGATGCACTTTACTGAAGTGTAACTGTTTTTGTTACAGTAATAATCTACTACTACTGCAGTAACGATCTAAAACCTCATTACAACGTTGGAATTAACTATTTATTGTGTCAACGTTGGAATTAACTATTTATTGTGTCAGCCAATCAGCTATGAGAAGGCGCTCTTCCTGAAGTTAGATTAAGAGGCCCAAGACAGTCATTGGGCCAAAACAAGTGGTAAGCAGAGAGGCAGAGGCAAGCAAGACGGTTTACTCCGCCCAAAATCTGTCCACGTAAATATGACCACGGAGTGAGGAGTTTTTGTATGGAGGTCAATGAGTGTCGAATTTGGTCAACAAAAAATGTAATTGCTAATTTGTGACGTGAGGCTTATTTGATCGAATAGAAGTTTAGTAATGGTTAGGTTGTTAAGAATGAACTGATATAAGTGGACGAACGTGGCATTTCGGCAATTTTTTGGGAAAAAAATACTTTTTATCAGAGTTGCGCCAACTGAGGGGGTTGTGCCTGTTGATCACACGCGTATCTGCCCCCTTATTGGCTAGAATGTTCCAACTGATCTCGCCTCCTCCCGCCTGCCTTCCATCTTTGAGGACATGTATTTCCATTGTTAGAGCAGTCACTCGACTGTCTTGTCAATATAATAGAACATCTTTGGGGTAAGTGATAAAATATTAGCTAGGCTAGTTCCAGAATTACATTAAAATGTAGCTATATTGTAGTGAGTATTATTGTCAGATAAATGTTCCTGTTGGCATATATATCTCTGACGCGTTTTTACGTCATGTTCAGTAAGTGTATTACTAGCCCCTACTGTACTGACCGTTTTCCCATTGTCCGGCCCATTCGATGTTCGCTAACCAAAATTAGCTAGCTAACTATTTATTTATCTAGCTAGTTGTATTAGCCAACGTTATCAGATCGAAGACTAACGTTACTTTATCAGAAACGTGTCATGCTCATGCCCCAACAGCTGTAAAGAGGATTGTAGATGACAGTTTTCGCTTTTGCATGCTTTTTGTCCGACAGGAGTACATGCTACTCTCTGTCTTGTAACGTTAGCTAGCTATCTAGGTTATATTTCTAATGACACACATATGTGATAGTCCCTGTCCCTCACAACCATTTTCATCTGACAAGCTCAATGAGTGAGGATAAAGTACTAGTGTTTTTCTAATCCTATGTATCCCACTTGTATATAATTCACTGGGATAAGGATATCATGGGAGGTGTGAAGCAGGAGCAGAATGATGGACCTCCACCAAGAGGCATGCAGTCCTCTGATGCAGCACACGAAGAGGCAAGAGAAGGGGAAAGGGCCCCGTACATACTGACATGAATAGCAGTAAATTCTGTACAAGTACTGGCTGTGTATACACAGACTACCCACTGTATGGTTATCCAATCCTTTCCCACATGTTGCTACTGTTCTATAAACTGATCTAGCTTAAATGGGATAAGAGCATTGTTATGATGATGTTATGCTATGTTTCCTGATTCATGATACACACTTTGACATGGTTATCGTTTTGTCTTTTCATCCTGGATAGCATGTCCGTTCTCTTTCCGTACAGCCTGTGAAGAAGAGGGGATGGCCGAAGGGTAAGAAGAGAAAGAAGGTTTTGCCCAACGGTCCCAAGGCACCAGTGACGGGATATGTGCGCTTTCTGAATGAAAGGCGAGAGCAGATCCGTGCTAAGCACCCTGACCTGCCCTTTCCAGAAATTACCAAGAGGCTTGGCGCAGAGTGGAGCTGCTTAGCACCTCATGACAAACAGGTACCTACAGGCTTGGATAGAGAAATGTAGTTGTAGAATGTAGGAAGAATTACATATAATTTTCCCCCAGGTTTGTATTTATGCATAGTTGTAGTTATATGAATAGCTACAGTGGGGGAAAAAAGTATTTAGTCAGCCACCAATTGTGCAAGTTCTCCCACTTAAAAAGATGAGAGGCCTGTAATTTTCATCATAGGTACACGTCAACTATGACAGACAAATTGAGAGAAAACAATCCAGAAAATCACATTGTAGGATTTTTATTGAATTTATTTCCAAATTATGGTGGAAAATAAGTATTTGGTCACCTACAAACAAGCAAGATTTCTGGCTCTCACGGACCTGTAACTTCTTCTTTAAGAGGCTCCTCTGTCCTCCACTCGTTACCTGTATTAATGGCACCTGTTTGAACTTGTTATCAGTATAAAAGACACCTGTCCACAACCTCAAACAGTCACACTCCAAACTCCACTATGGCCAAGACCAAAGAGCTTTCAAAGGACACCAGAAACAAAATGGTAGACCTGCACCAGGCTGGGAAGACTGAATCTGCAATAGGTAAGCAGCTTGGTTTGAAGAAATCAACTGTGGGAGCAATTATTAGGAAATGGAAGACATACAAGACCACTGATAATCTCCCTTGATCTGGGGCTCCATGCAAGATCTCACCCTGTGGGGTCAAAATGATCACAAGAACGGTGAGCAAAAATCCCAGAACCACACAGGGGGACCTAGTGAATGACCTGCAGAGAGCTGGGACCAAAGTAACAAAGCCTACCATCAGTAACACACTACACCGCCAGGGAATCAAATCCTGCAGTGCCAGATGTGTCCCCCTGCTTAAGCCAGTACATGTCCAGGCCCGTCTGAAGTTTGCTAGAGTGCATTTGGATGATCCAGAAGAGGATTGGGAGAATGTCATATGGTCAGATGAAACCAAAATATAACTTTTTGGTAAAAACTCAACTCGTCGTGTTTGGAGGACAAAGAATGCTGAGTTGCATCCAAAGAACACCATACCTACTGTGAAGCATGGGGGTGGAAACATCATGCTTTGGGGCTGTTTTTCTGCAAAGGGACCAGGACGACTGATCCGTGTAAAGGAAAGAATGAATGGGCCTATGTATCGTGAGATTTTGAGTGAAAACCTCCTTCCATCAGCAAGGGCATTGAAGATGAAACGTGGCTGGGTCTTTCAGCATGACAATGATCCCAAACACACCGCCCGGGCAATGAAGGAGTGGCTTCGTAAGAAGCATTTCAAGGTCCTGGAGTGGCCTAGCCAGTCTCCAGAGGAGATCTGCATGGAGGAATGGGCCAAAATACCAGCAACAGTGTGTGAAAACCTTGTGAAGACTTACAGAAAACGTTTGACCTGTGTCATTGCCAGCAAAGGGTATATAACAAAGTATTGAGAAACTTTTTTTATTGACCAAATACTTATTTTCCACCATAATTTGCAAATAAATTCATTAAAAATCCTACAATGTGATTTTCTGGATTTTTTTTCCTCATTTTGTCTGTCATAGTTGACGTGTACATATGATGAAAATTACAGGCCTCTCTCATCTTTTTAAGTGGGAGAACTTGCACAATTGGTGGCTGACTAAATACTTTTTTCCCCCACTGTATAGGCTTGCCAGGATATGGTCTGTTTGATAAGACCAGGTAGACCTCCTTTAAAAACTACAGGCTATCATGTTTCTTGAGGAGAAGCCTGGGATTGGAAGCTACCATCACAGTGTATTGAGATGTCTTCTGTGTGTGTCTGTGTAACCGAGTTAAGAATCACTCCACAGTTAGTTTGAAATTTTGCCAATGGAGCTATCCAATTGGTACCTTTTGTATAGCTCAAACCGTTGGTACATTGTCAAGGAGGGCAGTCACGTGTGTCTGTAAGCAGAGCATAACTGTTTTGAGCCTGTTATGGGGACAGGGGTAGTGGAGGAAGATATATTGTAAGTAGCACACATGACGTCGGTTACATTGATGCTGTTGATCCAGATCACTCAGTTGGGCTCTGTCCAGCTGCTGGGGTTGCTGCGGAGAAGGAGGGAGGTCAAAGGGGGGTGAATGTAACCGATGAGAACTGGCTAGCAAGTTAGCGGTGCATGCTAGTAGCGTTCAATCGATGACGTTGCTCACTCTGAGACCTAGAAGTAATTGTTCCCCTTGTAATGATTCTTCATGGGTGACTGTTGTCGATGTCTGCAGAGGGTGCCTGGTTCAAGTCCAGGTTGGGGCAAGGAGAGGGACAGAAGTAATACTGTTACATCTGGAGTGGACTGAAGTTTGTTTGTGTGCTGACCTGACAGCGCTTCCTGGATGAGGCGGAGCGAGAAAAGCTGCAGTATGCCCGGGAGCTGAGAGAATACCAACAGAGTGAGGCCTATCAGATCACCAGTGCCAAGATCCAGGACAAGAAGGTCAAGAGAGGTGAGAGTTGTAACACATCTACCTTATTCAATGAGGGTTGTGACACGTCTAGCTCCTAGTTCATCCATTTGACAGGGTGGTTAAAGTGTTGCTTTCGGTTTTTATCTGTCTTTCATTCATTTGTTTTCTTTGAGCATTGTATATAATGTTCTCTTTTTTCAGAGGAGTCCCCATCTGTCATTATCAATGCTAACAGTTCTGGATCAGCTGCTCTGAAGGTACGCCGTTTGCCTTACATTATATGCTTATGTTGTGTTTCTGAATAGGTTTTAAGAAGACTTCTGCTTTTGTTCCATGTGTTAACGAGTTTGTTTTGAACTATGTCCTCTAGGGTTCAGACTATCTGTCCAACAGATTTGATGTTCCAATATTCACTGAGGAGTTCCTGGACCAGAACAAGGGTAAGAGACGGGCAGAGGAGGGTCTCTGGGACAAACACTATTTCAGTGAAGAAAGTACTAACTGTTTCCTTACTAATGCTTGTTTCTCTGCTCCCAGCCCGGGAAGCAGAGCTGCGGCGTCTACGCAAAGCCAACGTGGAGTTTGAGGAGCAGAACGCCGTGCTGCAGAAGCACATAGCAGACATGTACAGCGCCAAAGAGAGGCTGGAAGCTGAACTGGGGCAGGATGAGCTCCGGACTCAGGCCTTGCACAGGCACCTGCTGGCCATCAAACACACCCTCGTCAGCAGTCTGTCCACTGTGGCCCTGCCAGGTCAGCACCCTGTCACTGGGGCCCTCCCATCCATCTCTGGCCCTGATACTCAGTCTAATCTCTTTGTACGACTATGCTGCAATTACTTACAGTGCATTCGAAAAGTATTCAGACGCCTTCCCTTTTTCCAAATTTTGTTACGTTACAGCCTTATTCTAAAATTGATTAAATAAAAAATGTCCCTCACCAATCTACACACAATACCCCAAAATGACAAAACAAAAAAAGGTTTGTAGAAATTTCTGCAAATGTATTACAAATAAAAAAACAGATAACTTATTTTCATAGGTATTCAGACCCTTTGCTATGAGACTCGAAATTGAGCTCAGGTGCATCCTGTTTCCATTGATCATCCTTGAGATGTTTCTATAACTTGCTTGGAGTCTACCTGTGGTAAATTCAATTGATTGGACATGATTTGGAAAGGCACACCTGTCTATATAAGGTCCCACAGTTGACAGTGCATGTCAGAGCAAAAACCAAACCATGACGTCGAAGGAATTGTCTGTAGCGCTCCGAGACAGGATTGTGTCGAGGCACAGATCTGGGGAAGGGTACCAAACATTTATGTAGCATTGAAGGTCCCCAAGAACACAGTGGCCTCCATCATTCTTAAATGGAAGACGTTAGGAACCACCAAGACTCTTCCTAGATGGGAGAACCTTCCTGAAGTGCAACCATCTCTGCAGCACTCCACCAATCAGGCCTTTATGGCGGAGTGGCCAGATGGAAGCCAGTCCTCAGTAAAAGGCACATGACAGGCCGCTTGGAGTTTGCCAAAAGGCACCTAAAGGACTCTCAGACCATGAGAAACAACATTCTGTGGTCTGATGAAACCAAGATTGAACTCTTTGGCCTGAATGCCAAGTGTCACGTTTGGAGGAAACCTGGCACCATCCCTACGGTGAAGCATGGTGGTGGCAGCATCATGCTATGGGGATGTTTTTCAGCGGCAAGGACTGGGAGACTAGTCAGGATCAAGGGAAAGATGAACGGAGCAAAGTACAGAGAGATCCTTGATGAAAACCTGCTCCAGAGTGCTCAGGACCTCATACTGGGGTGAAGGTTCACCTTCCAACAGGACAACAACCCTAAGCACACAGCCAAGACAACGCAGGAGTGGCTTCGCGGACAAGTCTCTGAATGTCCTTGAGTGGCCCATCCAGAGCCCGGACTTGAACCCGATCGAACATCTCTGGAGAGACCTGAAAATAGCTGTGCAGCGACACTCTCCATCCAACCTGACAGAGCTTGAGAGGATCTGCAGAGAAGAATGGGAGAAACTCCCCAAATACAGGTGTGCCAAGCTTGTAGCGTCATACCCAGGAAGACTCAAGGCTGTAATCACTGCCAAAGGTGCTTCAACAAAGTACTGAGTAAAGGGTTCCGTTTTTTATTTTCTATAAATTAGCAAGGACAATTTAATCAATTTTAGAATAAGGCTGTAACGTAACAAAATGTAGAAAAAGTCAAGGGGTCTGAATACTTTCCGAATGCACTGTATGTTGAACCTTCCTTACCTTGAAAGTAGTTTAAAACATTAAATGTATGTTTAAAAAAACAATAGGCCTAGTAAAGAGGCCAAAATCAACATTGATGACCTGTCCTGAGCGAGACATTTTGAAACGTACAGATTTGGTTGTGATATTTTCCAATTATTCTAAACTTCAGTATTTCAATCCCTCAACCCATAATGCTATTCAAATTAGAACGAAATACTTAGTTAACTGTATTTTATTTGCAGGCACAGGTGAGACCCCCTCTCTTGGTACCCTGGACTCTTACCTGAGTCGCCTGAGTGGTACTCTGGAGAGCAACCCTCATGAGCACCGTGCCTTGCTGACTCAGCTCCGCGATGTCCTTTCTCACCTGGACAGGTAACACACCTGTGAGATGATCTAATACCTTGAGATGTAGATGTACTGAGTTATGTCAGGGAACATATACTCCCCTACGTATTTATTTGGACAGTGACGCTAAAACAATTAATTTGGCTCTATACTCCAGCATTTTGGATTTAAGATGAAATATTTCATATGAGGCGACAGCCCAGAATGTCACCTTTTATTTGAGGGTATTGTCATACATATCTGTTTTACTGTTTAGAAATGAAAGCACTTGATGTATCTAGTCCCCCAATTTGAAAGTGTCATAAGTATTTGGACAAATTCACTTTTATGTGTATTAAAGTAGTCATAAGTTTAGTATTTGGTACCATATTCCTAGCACTCAATGACTACATCAAGCTTGTGACTCCAGTGTTTCTTCTAGGATTTTAATCAGCAGCGGTGGCAATTTTAGAGGCCCTCTTCTTGGCTGCAGACATAAAATGTTTGTTTTAAAGCTAATTTCCTGCAATTCTACACACTTTGCCATGGGATGGAGAGAACATTTTAGTTTTAAAGCTAGTCTCTTAGAATTCTACACATTTTGTCATGATGCTGAGAGAAAAAATTGCATTTTGAAAGCTAATTTCCTGCAATTCTACACATTTTGCCATGGCTTAGCTGTATTCTTATGCTATCTGAGTGACATTATAACAAAATCAATGACATTTTTGGAATTTTAGATTCTCCCTGACTGTCTAGTTTTTATTCTGGTAGTTGTTAGTTCTCAAAGATGATTTTATTTCAACTTTGTTTAATTTTACACTGAAAATGTTTTACCATCCTGAAAATTAGGCCCGCCACTGCTAAATGTATATAGGGGAAACACTAGACTCTACAAACTTGTTGGATGCATATTTGCAGTTTGCTTTGGTTATGTTTCAGATTATGTTGTGCACAATAGAAATTAATCATAAATAATGTATAGTCATTTTGGAGTCACTTTTATTGTAAATAAGAATAGAAACTTCTACATTAATGTGGATGCTACCATGATTACGGATAATCATGAATTAATTGTGAATAATGATAAGTTAGATGCACAAAGATCATACCCCAAGACATGCTAAGCTCTCACCATTACAAATAACAGGAGGTTTGCGTTTTTTTTGTTGGGGGGTATGATATTTATGCCTCTGAGTGTACATAACCTATGGTCTTGCGCATTACCATTCATATAACGTTGTCAAATTCAAGCACTTGCTAGATCTGCATGCATACAGTACAACTTACCTTGTTGTTTATGGATGATCACACTTTTCAAACAGTCTTCTCCCTCACCTTATTTTCAGTGAGAAGCTATGATGGGACCTCCACACCCATTCTGACTTGATGTGGATCCTGGACGGTGTAACAACAGGTCAAATCGGTGCCCTTCAATGTAGGATAGGTGGGATGTCTATCTGATGTAACAGACAAATTACAAACAGATAAAACACACGGCTCTGTCTATATAGCAATACTCTGTGGGATATCTGCATGTGTACAGTCTTGTCCAGTCTTGGTGTGAACAGTCATTATGTCAAACTGCCTTACCTTGTTCCATCTATAGTTCCTATGGTTTCTGGGAAAATAATCATGGGAAAATAATCAGTTTACATGCCCTTTATGGAGATTGCGGAAGTGTACTGGTGTCAAATGAGAGACCAAATGAACTGGGAAAGATCATAGCAACATTTTCAGAATCGTTTTTTGTAATGCTATTGATATTAGTTTTGGGGTGGGAAATTTTGGATGAAGTTTTTTTTTTGTAATGGTTTATTTGAACAAATTTGAAATGGAAGTTTTGTGTCCTTTTATCATTATTTCAATTTGCAATAAAAGTAAATGTTTGTAATACCAGTAAATGTGTGTCATTTCCCGGATGTCATTAAGGATGAACGTGACGTACATAGAGCTGTGCGTATGGTGACATGGATGATGTCTGAAATGGCATGATGACTCAATAGTTGCTGATGGCACCTGCTGACCCCACTTTACAATGGACAGAAGGATGGAAAAACCGACGTTTCTAGATCCCCCACCAGAGGGTGGTATAGCTCCACTTAGAAACGTTGTCAGTGGTTAGCTTGTTAGGGTTGTCCTCAGTTTCTTTTAAGTTATACTAAATGTCATTAATTTAATAATTGTCCATTCATGGATTGAATTTCAAGCTACTCTGTATTGACAATTGATGTGGTTTAGATCCACTTGATTCACTGGAGGCCTTTCCCAAGGTATTTTTGATATGGTTACACTTGATTAAGCAAAAACCAACATGCCTCCTGAAAGTATGCCTAGTAGTCGGTGTTTCTGAAAGCTTTGGGATCGGAACAAGGAGAGGCAATCTAATTCTAGGCACAGAAGATAACCGTCAGTCAAGGTGCAGTTGCAATGTAGATATTGAATGGGTTTCTTCTATAAGTCTATGGATTGCTAAATTATTCTTCCCTTTTTTTATACATTACACTAGCCTACTGCTTGTAGTGCTTGGGCCTACTTGCTTGTAGTCATGCTTGGTAGTGGCTTGAAGACTAGTTTAATGCTCTCTCTTCTTAGGTCCAGTTATCTAATCTGAGGTTAAAAGATGCTGTAGGCTATTTTGGGGATTTTCAGCGGGACCACGAACCGTTCCGGGAGGCCTGATAGTCAGGCGTTCTGAGCATCCTTGGTCCATCCGTCATCACTGCTGTGACGTCAGTCTCGGGAACTGTCCTTACAGTGGTGGTGCTGAACAAGATGGCTGTGCGTCGGGGAGTGGAGAGCTGAGGAGGAAATATAGCCCCCCAAATTGATCCAGACACATCGTGAGAGGGAAAGCGGACGAGAAAAGACTCGAACAGTATGATTTTTTTTTTATTGTCACAAAACAGTGACGTGTAATAGCTTCTAGTAGAAACGGAGCTGACTCCATCCACCTATTTATACAGGCTATAGAGACGGATATCTACTCCGAATTGAAATAACGGTGCCGGTGGAAGACATCTGGGAGCGATCATAGCCAGAGCTAAGAGATGTCATTGCTGTGCGTTGGAGGTAAGTGACAAAAACAAACGTATTTAAAGCTGGTGGTAGACTACTGTAGGCTGTCGAGAGAAACGCTTTTGTTTACTCGGGTAACCAGTTGCTCCGCGGGCGGTTTTCTTCAATTCATCTGATTCTGCTATAAAATGTCTCAATTGTTGGCGTATAGGCCTAAACGACTCGCTGAATACTACAATTTATTTAAATTCGCTGTAGTCAAATTCCTTTGACGAGAAAACACTTTGTGTTCTTTAGATGGCCAGACAGCCTGCAGCATTTTTAAAAATGTGTCTAATTCTTCTTGATTTATTATGTGATTGTCTTCTATTGATGTAGAAGCGTAATGAACACTGTCAGTCATCATAAACACTTTGATGTCTTGTTGATAAAATGGTAGCTGAACTGTCATTATTGTAGTCTACTAACCGCACCAAATCACGCTCTAAATATAATATTTGAATATTAGCATAAAGCAGGCTATCACAGAGTAAAATGCGTATCTGGAATATGATTGTCCGAAGCTAAGTCCAGTATTGGATTCTGTCCCCGTGCGTAGTAGCTCACTAAAAAGGCGTGTACTGTAAATCCACGTTATCTTTGTTTCTATTCTGATTTTTAAATATGTGGGGGTGGTTCGGGCAGCAAATATTGTTCATTTAGTTTGTGTAGTGTCGCTTTTGGTTGTCTATCATGATGATGATAGCATTCCTTATGACTGCTTTTAGGTGTCTTAAGGAATGTCCTGAATGCAGCCTTTCTATGCTGTGACTACAGTAGATTGCCTCTAGCACTAGCCTACTATATGTTGGATCAGTGTTGTTGTTGACCATACCCTTTCTAGAATGATTGTTTGTATGAAATGCATTTTCTCAGAAAAAAAAGAAGATAAAAAAAAGGTGGTTGTCCCACTGGCTATCATAAGTTGAATGCACCAATTTGTAAGTGGCTTGCTAAAAGAGCGTCTGCTAAATGATGTAAATGTAAATGAGAAAAGTGGGTCCAAGAGATTTTACCCTGGGCAATGTGGCATTGGCTCGAGTCCTCGAAGCAATTTACTATCCCAACAAAAACACCTAAAAGCAGTTGTCTTGTAGGCCTAAGATCAAAATAGCAAAATAGTCCCGTTTTTGTTCAGGTTGTTTGAATATCAGCTGTGTTGACCTATTTTTCTCCATCAGTGATTTGTTTTCCAGTTAATTTGTTAGTTGCCTGCCTGTTATAGATTGTTTAGGCATACAGTGGACTGCTTTCTGGTTTTATGTTATTGTCACATCGATTCACACCCACAGTCACTTCCCTAAAACGTTGGCCTGTCACGATTCTTCTGTGAAAGTGGTAGTGTGAAATGCCAGCAACCCAAACCACCCACCCTAAGGTGTTTGTGGAGACAGGATATGTTCTTGGCACAGTAGTTGGATAAACAAGCTGATTGCACAGATGTCAGGATTGAGACAGATCCACAGATGTACCCTCAATATCCTCAAGCTTGTTGGCATAGCAACCCTCCATTCCCTGGCATTTGAGGCTTTTCCTTTAATTTCCCATTAGTATTGAGTGTACAGCTAAGTTAGTGGTTATTTTTTGGTAAAAAGCCCATAGCCATGGTGAGATTGAGAGACTGGGACTTTTCTTACAAATGGCACTATTTTCACCCACTATCGAGAGACTGGAGGAAGAATGGGGAAAGGAGTACTTTTTGTTAGGCCTTCATGTAGAAATGGCATTGACAACAACCCATTGGAGAAGATGTGTCCCCACTTTTACCTTTTCTTACAAATGCTTGATTCTAACTATAGGTCTATTTCCATATCTTCAGATTAGTAATATGTTGCCCAGTGCTCAGCGAGCGAGCAGATTTCTAGCTTCTAAGAGTCACATTACATTATCAAACAGTACGCACACACACTTCCTTGCTGTAATGACTGGGTTTGTTTTTAGTTGACAAATCCCCAGTCATTTCTTCTTCCCACATGAATGTCCACTGAAGCTCTCAGTGTATTCCCCAGCATGTCATGCATTCAGTGGCTCAGCTAGCAAGCATAAATAATGTTGTAATCCAATGGAAGTATAATTAGCTTGCGCCAGCCGAGGGCCGTTCAGTTCCATATAATCAGACACTATATAACATTATCTCATGTTCTGTTTAGGTTCAGAATACATTATGCCTGTATCTCGACTCGGAGAAGGCAAGAACCTGCTCCCTGAAAGAGAGCAAGCCCTTGGCTTTCATTTCATTTTTGTGTTTCATATTCTGTGGATTCAATGTTCTTTTTTTAATGGAGACAGTTTTGTTCTTCATTAGGGCACATTACAATGGATCCTTTAAATGAAATATCATTGACCTCTCCCTTCCTCACCCCCAACCCCCTATCAGCTACTGTCCCGCTGAAGTAGTTATTTTTAATAGTGGGGGTTCTGCTCTGCCCGCGCTTGGCTGCACAGAGAGATTAATGGAGCACAAGAGAAAGAGATAAAAAGGGAGCACACACGCCACATGGCAGGAGGAGGAGGAGGAGGAGGAGGAGGGAGGGAGGGAGAGATGGTAAGTGAGAGAGACATGGCGGAGGTGCTGAGGAATAGACAGCTGAAGAGGCTGGCTGAATCCTGTTAGCTTCAGCTCAGCAAAGGGAGGCGGTGGTAATGGAGCTCGACATCTGTTTTGTTGTTTGTATTTTGCAGTGTTCCATGGAATCACCCTACAGGGGATAAAGTAGTCCGTTATATTGAGTAATGATGAATCATGAAAGGCTTAGCTCTGAAGTTGGTTAAGTGCATCCTCTAACTCCTCCTCCTCATGCCCTGCACACTAGCAAGATCAGATTGATATTCAGATAAAACAAACATCCTCCTCAGGGTCTGTTGGGATTAGCTATTTTAGGAAAACAAATACATCCACTATTGTCACGCTGCTTCATGATTAACTGACTCTGACATATTATTCTTATCATATCAAGTCAGACAGCAGGAGTCACAATTTCGTCTTCTCCTTTAGCTGAAATATTGAGTGGCTTCATAAAAAAGCCATTCTTGTGATGGTTGTTATGATATGGATTATTCATACAGGTGATAATGCTCCAGTTGGACCCATAATGATAGAGAACGGGTCAGTAGGTCATTAGGACTGGCCATGCGGGCATCTGGGTGGCAGTCCAGTACCACATTCCACTGTGCCCTCCGAGAAAAGCATTTGATGTTCATTTATCCAACTCTGTGATTCCAAATTGACCTTTTTCCCTAAGTCCCTTTTCTAAACTGCATCTTTTGGAGATGAATTGAAGGGAGGCGTTCAGTGTGGATTAGAAGGACGCCTTTGAATATTAAAGCCCTGAACATGGGGGTGCTTGGCATCGGCAGGGCAGGCGGGCGGGCACGAGATTAATGAATAATGAATGGATCAGTTGATGTCAGAGCGCGTGGAAAAAAGTATTGGTTGCCTAAAGTGATCCCCAATATATAGAAGGTGACAGTGGTACCTTTTATCTTAACAGACCTGCTTTCATTGTGTCAAATTGCCTCATTGTCACCCTTACTGGTTATCATATGTGAGACTACACGTGCACAGACACACACACACACACACACACACACACACACACACACACACACACACACACACACTTAATCCTGTGTGCTCCTCTTCTCTCTGAACCACTCTCACCTGAGCGTACCGCTGAGAGCCTTCCACTCAAATAGAGCTCTTGACATCTGTTGGTGAATGCAGGCTTTGATGTTAAGATCCAGGCATTCTGCCATCAGAGGAAGTGTGCCCAGGCTGACTGAATTAGGTCCTTCTTTCTCCTCCTCCTACGAAATGCCAGGGTCTTGTCATCACCCACAATCCCTATATGGGCTGATATGCATATTGGGATATGAAAAGAATATCTAAGATTTCTGATCTAAATTGCAAAATGAACATACGTTTTGATGCTGTCTTATGCAGCAAACCTTTTCAGCTCAGAAAGGTGTGGGTTATTAATAGGTTTGTTGTTAGAAACCTGAATCTCTAGATTGATTGACCCATTGAGTTTAACCCATTACATTTACATCATTTAGCAGACGCTCTTATCCAGAGTGACTTACATGAGCAATTAGGGTTAAGTGCCTTGCTTAAGGGCACATCGACAGATTGTTCACCTAGTCAGCTCGGGGATTAGAACCAGCGACCTTTCGGTTACTAGCACAACGCTCTTACCCACTAAGCTACCTGCCACCCTAGTATGGCTCATGTTTTGTTTCTTTTTGTCTGTATTGCAGTGAAGAAAGCCAAACTCGATGGACCCCAAGGTGAGTTGAGACACGTTTGACCATGTTTTACTTAGTCTTAAAAAGTCTTAAACACTGGTTTGTTTTACAGTAACACTGATATTCCTCATTGTTCCACAGAGAAATTTAACACCTACGTGACGCTTAAAGTGCAGAATGTCAAGAGCACCACCATTGCGGTGCGGGGAGCCCAGCCATGCTGGGAGCAGGACTTCATGTTGTGAGTCTTGTTCCTCCTCCTCCTCCTCCTCCTCCTCCTCCTCCTCCTCCTCCTCCTCCTCCTCCATCTCTCCCTCTATAGGAAATACTTACTAGTTTCTCTCTCTACACGTTGAGCTGCCCTGGGTCCTAAGTGCTCTGTCAGTGATGAGACTAGAAGGCTCTGGAGGCCTGATCTCAGATACAAGATATGCAACTGTTGAGATTCCCAAGGCAGTGTGAGCTAGGCAGCCAGTCATCCATCCATGCAGCCGGGCAAGCAGTGACACTAATGTGTTAACACCAGAGTGCACACATGTTGTGTAACACGGACTGCAGAGACTCCTGAATAAATGTTTTAATTAGTGACGTTTAAGGTGCCCAACAGAGCCACTCTCACTGGTTGGAGTGCTACAGTCAAGGGACAGGAGTTCAGATGAAGCCTTGGATAGGGCATTTCTTACAGAGTCAAAATTATTTCATAACTGAAAATAGGAACAGGAAGTTGCCCTGAAATAGCAGAAGATTTAATAAAAGGGTTGTTCCACGAAATGAGTCCCCTGTTATTTTAAGGAGAACTTGTGCACAAATATTGAATTTTAAAAGCCTGTTATATTAAATGAAGTGCCCTTTTAATATAGATCACATGGAAAATTCAATAAATCAGATTTTTTTTATATGAATAAAGACTTGCTAAAGTGCCAAACATTTTCTTCATGCACCCTCTGTGACTTCTAGGAAGAGTATAACCCACTTAAACCCAACATTTCTCCAAGTTTTCACCATCATTGTAAAGCCCTAGTTATTTTATGCTTTGACAAAGTCGTTTCTGAAGATTATGATTTATTCCATGTTATTAGTGATTGATTTTAAGGGGGAAAAAACCCTGTCCCTCATTTTAAGGTCAACCCTGTTACATGAACAGAGATCTCATTTTAATATGGTGAAACTATTCCTTTTTAAATATTTTTTTCAAGAGAGACATTGAACATCTCATAGTCAAATCATAGAGTAAAAGCAGGTGAGCTGGTTCTACTCTTTTTGGCAATTTTCTTGTGTTTTGTGGTCAAACTGAGCGGGTCGAGCATAACACGTCAATCCTGTTACACATAGATAGACAGGGTAGAAATGTTTGAACAATTTAAAAACATTTTAAAGCTTGCACACAACAAGCTTCCATTCCCCCTGTCACAAGGTGATTTATGGCTGATTTAAGATTGTCATCAACCGTGTTACGGTCAAGCAAGTTACTTTATTTGGCAATTATTAGGCACTTACTATAGTATATATATATTTTTTTACCTCTTGAGATGGGGAAAAAAGTGTTTTTCATTAAGTTGCACATGTGCTCTTTATGACAGAATGTTACAATTTGGTAAAATAATATAATAAAACACTCACCAAGTTACACTACTCAAAAGGTACCTAATTGGTGGAACGACCCAATAGAAGATAATCGCTATCTCTCTTCCCTACATTTCTTTGCTTCCTACAGCTGCTAAACCTCACTACACTAGAAAATACAGCTCTGTTCTTCCCCACTCCTTAGATCTCTCTCCACCCCACCCCCCCCCCCCATCTTCCTTCTATCTATTCTCCATGTCCATAATGCAGCGCCAACGCCAGCCTTTAGCGAGATTAATCCCTGGGCTCTCAAGAGAAAGATCTGTTTTCATATCAAAGCAGGTGCTATTATTAGGATTTGATTAACTTGAGAGGCTGTCCTGTGCATGTGCATCCTAAATGACACCCCTATCCCTATACAGCACTACTTTTGACCAGGGGTCAGGTACCATAGGGGGCTGTTTGGGATGCACCCTGAGTCTAGCTGTATGGATACTCGGGATACTAGAGATGCCCAGAGTGTATATATGTTATTGACCCAGTCAGTCCTGGCCAGTCAGCTCTATACGCTTCCTTCCTGCTAGAATTCACTCCTGTTTTCCCTGATGGAAATAATACTGGTCTCCTTCACTCTGCCTTATTGACCTCACCGCTACCCCTCAGGCAGCTCTCTGTGGCTCGGTGACTCACATCCACCACAGGCTGAATCACATTGGCTCTTTGTTCTATTAGATTAGAGCTGGGGCTCTGATGGCATATATATTTCACTTCTCTATAAGATGGGTTTTATCTCTCCAGGCCCTATTGCTCAATCAGGGTTTCTGTCATTTTGGTCTCCCGGTCTGTTGAGTGTATTTCCTCATCTCATCACTTCTTTCTCTCTGTCTCTCCCGTTCCTTCTTTCACTCTCTCACCCCCTCTTTCTCCTCCCTCATCTTCCTGTCTCCCTCTTTTTGTCTACACCCCCCCCCCCCCCCCCCCCCCCCCCCCCCCACTCCCTGTGCAGTGAGATCAACAGGCTGGACCTGGGGCTGACGGTGGAGGTGTGGAACAAAGGGTTAATCTGGGACACCATGGTGGGCACCTTGTGGATCCCCCTGCAAAACATCCGCCAGTCCAATGAGGTACGGTACGCCCGCCCTGCCCCCACCACCCTCCACCCTCCTGGGAGCACAAGGCGGTTTACCAGCAGCACATCCGAGGCTCAGACACAAGTACATCACAACACTAGACTGATACGGTTTGTTGTCACGCCACATCAAAGTGTTTAAGGTGGAACACACTTCATATCAGGGATGAAAGGAGTTTAAAGAGAGTGTTCTTGGATGGTAAAGATGGATAACCTACAGGGAGTGAATTCCTCCGCTTTGAAACACTGTAACTAGGACTATTTTTAGCATCCTCCTAAGTGTTTGACTGGAAGAGGGAAAGTGTTACCCTGTACAGTAACAATACATGTTTGTGTGTGTGTGTGTGTGTGTGTGTGCTCATGCTAGGACGGGCCGGGGCAGTGGCTGACACTGGACTCCCAGGTCATCATGGCTGAGAATGAGATCACCGGCACCAAAGACCCCACCTTCCACCGCGTGCTGCTGGACACCCGCTTTGAACTGCCATTAGGTTAGTGTGTGTGTGTGTGTGTGTGTGTGTGTGTGTGTGTCCTTAGTGACTGACCAGTGAATGGGTCTTTCTGCTTCAGACATTCCAGAGGATGAGGCTCGATACTGGGCCAAGAAACTGGAGCAGCTCAACGCCATGAGGGACCAGGACGTAAGGCATCTCCTCCTCTCCTCCCTTTGTGTTTACATCTTACCTGCCCGCCACAAGGCAGGGCTATCAGTAATTGCAAAAATCATCACTTACTCTATGCATTAAATATGATGTAGACCCATAACTCTCCTAGATGCGGATTACCTCATGTTGGATTAGCTGCAGTACAATGTACAGTGTCAGTCAGCCGTATTGTAATCAGCTATATCTATTGTGTGTGTGTGTGTGTTTGTGTGTTGCAGTACACGTACCAGGAGGAGGAGGAGAGACCACTGCAAGCGCCATCAACACAATGCTGTGAGTAGTAGACTCTTGATACTGGCTTCACACCCTCTTTAAATATCCTCCTCCTTTTCACTTTGTTCCTGGCCCCCCTCTTCCTCCTTGTCACTCTCCCCCGTCTCCTCTTCCTCCTTGTCACTCTCCCCCGTCTCCTCTTCCTCCCTCTTTACTATCCTCCCTTTCATCCTCGACATTCACATATTCACTTTACTCCTCCTCTTCTTCCTCTTCCTCCTCCTCTTCACTTTATTCCTCCCTCTCCCCCTCTTCACTCTCCTCCTCCTGAGTCTTTGGGAAGCAGACTAGAGGGGAAGCAGCAGGCGGATGGAGGGAGGGAGGGAGGGAGGGAGGGAGGGAGGGAGGGAGGGATGGAAGGAGGGAGAAAAGCTGACATGACGAATCGAGCCAGCAGGCCTGCCTCATAGTCAGCTCCACACACAGTGTTTTATGGCTGCTAGCTGTGTGATGGATGTGTGCTGGCATACTTTCACTGCCCTGTCAGACACAGCCCTGTCTGTCTGATGACAGCCCATGTGGGTGGGTGGTGACCACTGTGGATGAGTCTGGGCTGTGGTGGATGTTTGTCTGTCAGTGGGTGTGTTTGTGAGAGACCAGCCATAAAGGTTGATCAGTATTAGTGTGTGTGAGTGCTTGTCCGCATGCATGCGTGTCTACGTGCTGTGTTTCAGTGAGTGTTTATGGATGGAGCCTGCGTATGCGCTTTGAGTTATGGGATGCTGGGATGAGAGTTATGTCTGACTACCCACTGCTCTGTGCTAATTACCACACCCTGGGCCCTCCATCCGCCACAAGGTCAGCCATCTTGCCTGCCCTGGCCTGCTCCCTCTCCCGCTCCACTCTGAGATTTACACCCCAAACAGATTGGTTCCTGGGGGCGCACCCTGACTTATCTATTTCCTGGTCATACGGCTGCACATTTTTTAACATTTAAGTTTATGGCTCAGGCCCAAATCACATATTTCTGTGATAACTTATTACCTACTTACCCCCTGTCCTTGTAGGTAACTGGAGTCTGTGGGGAGACCAGCAAAGTAAGTTTTTCTAGCTTTTCTCACACAGTTTAGCAAACAATGTCTGTTGACTCAAATGGTACCTGGTACTGTAGGCCTATATTGCTAGGTTTTTAAAATTAGTCACCACATCCACTTACAGTATAAGTCACCAAGCACATACTAGCATCATGAGTAAAGATGAACCCCACATCATGATAATAATCATAATATTTCAACCATTTCGTGTGTAGATGAGGATCCAGACAGTGCGGTGGACGACAGAGACAGTGACTACCGCAGTGAGACTAGTAACAGCATCCCTCCACCCTTCTACACCACATCTCAGCCCAACGCCTCCATGCACCAGTACCCCATCCAGAGAGACCAGCGCTACTCCTCGCACACCTCCTACAACGGCTCCATCCAAGAGCTGGACTACGACAACCAGAGACCCATGAGGTAACCTAACCTCTCTCGTCCTGTCCTGTCATCCTTACCTGGTTCATTACCTGGTTCACTACTCAGGGTCTCAATAGGGGGTTCGTCCCAATAAGCTTCCTTTCATTGTCTCCTCTCCTTCATTTTAAACGTACCTTTAAGTTATTTTGTTACAAGCTGCTCTCCTACAGTTGTACTAATCTAAAAACATGAAGGGTAGGTGGAATGTATAAGTCGTACCTTTTCCCTGTTCAGCTCTTTAAGATATGTGTGGGTGAAGGAATGAGACGAGGAAAGGAAACTACGTTAGACTATTGAGACGCACACAGCATGGATCTCACTCTCACCTCCTCTTCTTAGTCAAGGGATCCATATTGACTTTGTCTCATCTGGAGATCAACACTCTATTCACCACAGAATAAATCAGACTACTACAGAACAGATTTTTGTTCACACTGTTGCTACATGGTAACCTGTTGTCCCACTGTGACTTCACTCTCCAGAGCATACTGCAGTGTGGCCTCACTATACAAGCCTAAAGGAGCAGCCATGCCGACCTTGTATACAGGCCGTGTGGGAAGAGCCTCACTGACACCATCACTGTGTGTGTGTGTGTGTGTGTACATGTGTATGAGTGTGCATGTGTGTGTGTGTGGCTGAAATACAGCCCCCTGTGATCACTTAGCAACTTGTTTTCCCCCCCAAAAAAACAAGTGTGTTTTTTTGTCTTTACATCTGTTGTTCAAAGGCACAAATTCACTCAAACTCATGCCTTGCTTGGGGCAGCCACATAATTGCATAAAGGCTTCTCTCAACAGTGATTCTGTTTTTAGCCATATGAACCTGCAAGGTCCACTATAGCTAAAACCAACCACTCACTTCTCTATCTGTCTATCTCTGTCTGGCTCCTTGGTCAGTGCCAGTGGTCTTTATGCAGTAGGTTTGCCAGGCAGTGTGTGGTTCAGTTTGGTGTTGTGGATGTTGCTGTGTGTCTTTGAAAAGCCCCAGGCCAGACTGTACTGATGCTCCTCCTCTCCTGCCTCTCCCCCTTCCTGCCAGACGCTATGATAGTTTAGACTCGGCCACCAACGGGCGCAGCGATCTCGATTCAGCCTCAGGTTCGAGCCGGCGCACCAGCCGCCAGTACTCTCTAGACAGTAGGCACTCGCTCTCCGATAGGTGGGTCTCTGCACCTCCTCTCCACCTCTTCCTCCTCTTCCTCTTCCTCCAGCCTGTGACTCCGTCCGTGGTCTCGCTGTGACGTCAGTGGTGGAATAGTCCTGTCCTCCTCGCTCGCTGTGCTTGCATGCATGTGTTGTTCAACTCCCTCTCTCTACTACGTATCTACGTTCCGATCCTGTATCTACCTGATAATAACTACTGTATACACACCGGAATCACACACACATGATCTACCCTCTCTCTGTCGTACATCTGTCGTGAAATGTGAATGAGTTCCTCTGTTGTGTGTGTTGTTATCTAGGAAGTTGGAGGCATAGGGGAGCAGTTTGGCTAAGTTGATGTGAGTTGCAGTGTTAAAGTGTTAGTGTGTTCTGTGTGGCTCCTCTGCCTCCTCTGTCTCTCAGTGGCAGCATGTTATTACCTCCTCCTCCTACGGTGCCTCAGTGACAAGTCCTCTCTGTGATTAACTACGCAGCTCAGGCTTCCCCCAGCCAGAGCCAGCCGTACTGTTGGCCAAGGACCCTGGCCCCGGCTCTGGGGTGGCAGGAGGCATGCCTGTTCAGAATTAATAGTAGCCTATCAGAGATGGGAAGACACATGTCCTCCTGTATGTGCCACTGTACTTCTCTCCTGCTGTGTTTGGTGTTTGAGAAGGAAAATGCAGGTTTCTGTCGGACAGCTCAGTGAAAGAGCTGTGTGTGTCCTTGTGGGTGTACTAAAGAGAGAGAGAGAGAGAGAGAGAGTTTGCATGCGTGTGCGCTTCTTGATCAAGTAGCAGGATTCTGTATTACGTTTTGTGCATATGCCATGTGTATTTCTATGTGTGTGTGTTGGTTTCCTCAGGTGTTCTGTTTTCCTATCTGCGTTCAGCCTAGGTTCCTGTCTCCTAGCTCTCACACAGACACATACAGCCCAGGGTTGTTTAACTCTCCCCTCTTTCTTTACTCCCCCTGTACCGCTTCATGCATTATTGAACCTTCACTGCTTTAATCGATAGTGTGTAAAGGAGTGGACTTGTGTGTGTGTGTGTGTCTCTCTCTCTCTCTCTCTCTCTCTCTCTCTCTCTCTCTCTCTCTCTCTCTCTCTCTCTCTCTCTCTCTCTCTCTCTCTCTCTCTCGCTCTCTCTCTCTGGTCTCTCTGTTTCTCTCTCTGTTTCTCTCTCTCTCTCATCTCATCTCTCTCTAGCTCTCTCTCTCTCTCTATCTCTCTCTCTCTCTATCTCTTCTCTCTTCTTTCTCTCTCTCTCTTCTCTCTCTCTCTCTCCTCTCTCCTACTCTCTCTCTCTCTCTCGCTCATCTCTCTCTCTCTTCTCTACGTCTCTGTCTCTGTCTTCTGTCTTTCTCTCGTCTCTGTTCGTCTCTCTCTTCTCTGCTCTCTTGCTCTCTCTCTCTACTCTCTCTCTGTTCTCTCTCTGTCTCTCTCGTCTCTCTTGTTCTCTCTCTCTCTCTCTCTCTCTCTCTCTCTCTCTCTCTCTTCTCTCTCTCTCTCTCTCTATCACTCTCTTTCCCTTCTCACTAATAGCCTCATTCATCATAGTTGAATAAAATCCCCCTCTTTTGTCTGCTAAAAAGAGGCAGTTTCAGCCTGCCTCTCTCTCTCTCCACTCATATTTTCTCCCTCTACCCCTCTCCCTCTGCTCTCTTTCACTCTATCTGCTTGCTCTCTCTCTCATCACCTCTCTCATCACCTCACCTGAATGGGTGCCATTACTTGTCAAGGCTGTTTACCTCATGTCTTGTTTCGCTGTTTATTGTGTTGGCTCAGGGTGTTTGTGAATCTCTGCTCTGTTGAATATGCAGATTTGTATGTGGCGTGTGATCAGAGCACCCACCAATAATCTCTCTCTCTACTAAAAATGAAGACTTCCCTGTTACTACACCACATAACCCCCAAACTCATGCATCTGAACACATACTAGCCTATCCCTAGGTCCAGGATGCCTTAGTTTGTTCCTCTCCCCTTTATCCTAGGTTAACTGTGCTCCCTCACTTTAGTCCCCAAAAAGAATGTTCCCTTAACATGCGCTCTGGGCCCATTTGGTTGTTTATTTCTTTAGTGTTTTTCGTCCCCGTTCTGCTCCATGTGTCTGTGTATCTGACTGTGGTCCATCTGTCTATCTGTCTACAGTCCTACAGGAAGCAGTCGCTATGCCTCCTCTGGGGAGCTGAGTCGAGGCAGCTCCCAGCTCAGTGAGGAGTTTGGCCCTGAGAACGAGGGGAGCCTGAGGGGCTCTGTGGAGCTCTACGACGAGAACGACTCTTACCACTCCTGCCACTCCTCTGTCAGCTACGACAAGGAATCGGCTGGCTGGGACCCCGATGAGCCCGAGGTGGTGTACAGCGACGAAGGGGGCTATGTCAAAGATGGCGGGGAGGAGGGGGCTATTTACGATGAGGAGGAGGGCGAGCTCTACGAGCCCGAGGAGGGAGAGGGGGAGTTCAACTATGAGGGAGAGGAGGAGATGATTTACGAAGAAGATGAAGATCTCTACCCTCTGGACGGCACGCTCAGCGAGGACCAGGAGCCGCCCTACTCCCCCACCCCCACAAGCACGGCCCCCACGCTGGCCCCCGAGGCCTCCATCACCAGGCCCCCTCTGGAGAAACAGGCCTCTCTGAGAGAGCAGCAGCCTGAGCCCTCCACCCTGGCCCCCACCACCCAGGCCCAGACCATGCCCCCTGTCCAGCCCCCTGTCACCACAGCCTCCACCAAGCCTCCATTCACCCCCATGATCCATCCATCCCTCATCCAGTCCCCAGTGCCCACAGCCCAGCCCCCTGCTGCAGACACCCAGCCTCCAGTGTCTGATGCCCTGGATGATATCCTCCTAGACCTCCAAGAGGAAGAGCCTCTGTCTTTAGAGCAGGAGGTCCCTGTGGTGGAGAGCCCCCCAGCAGAAGTCCCAGCAGAGAAGAGCGAGACTCCTGTTGTCAGGTGAACCCTCAACCATCCACTTCTGTAGTTATATACAGTGGGGGAAAAAAGTATTTAGTCAGCCACCAATTGTGCAAGTTCTCCCACTTAAAAAGATGAGAGAGGCCTGTAATTTTCATCATAGGTACACGTCAACTATGACAGACAAAATGAGAAAAAAAATCCAGAAAATCACATTGTATAATTTTTTATGAATTTATTTGCAAATTATGGTGGAAAATAAGTATTTGGTCAATAACAAAAGTTTCTCAATACTTTGTTATATACCCTTTGTTGGCAATGACACAGGTCAAATGTTTTCTGTAAGTCTTCACAAGGTTTTCACACACTGTTGCTGGTATTTTGGCCCATTCCTCCATGCAGATCTCCTCTAGAGCAGTGATGTTTTGGGGCTGTCGCTGGGCAACACAGACTTTCAACTCCCTCCAAAGATTTTCTATGGGGTTGAGATCTGGAGACTGGCTAGGCCACTCCAGGACCTTGAAATGCTTCTTACGAAGCCACTGCTTCGTTGCCCGGGCGGTGTGTTTGGGATCATTGTCATGCTGAAAGACCCAGCCACGTTTCGTCTTCAATGCCCTTGCTAATGGAAGGAGGTTTTCACTCAAAATCTCACGATACATGGCCCCATTCATTCTTTCCTTTACACTGATCAGTCGTCCTGGTCCCTTTGCAGAAAAACAGCCCCAAAGCATGCTTCCACCCCCATGCTTCACAGTAGGTATGGTGTTCTTTGGATGCAACTCAGCATTCTTTGTCCTCCAAACACGACGAGTTGAGTTTTTACCAAAAAGTTCTATTTTGGTTTCATCTGACCATATGACATTCTCCCAATCCTCTTCTGGATCATCCAAATGCACTCTAGCAAACTTCAGATGGGCCTGGACATGTACTGGCTTAAGCAGGGGGACACGTCTGGCACTGCAGGATTTGAGTCCCTGGCGGCGTAGTGTGTTACTGATGGTAGGCTTTGTTACTTTGGTCCCAGCTCTCTGCAGGTCATTCACTAGGTCCCCCCGTGTGGTTCTGGGATTTTTGCTCACCGTTCTTGTGATCATTTTGACCCCACGGGGTGAGATCTTGCGTGGAGCCCCAGATCGAGGGAGATTATCAGTGGTCTTGTATGTCTTCCATTTCCTAATAATTGCTCCCACAGTTGATTTCTTCAAACCAAGCTGCTTACCTATTGCAGATTCAGTCTTCCCAGCCTGGTGCAGGTCTACAATTTTGTTTCTGGTGTCCTTTGACAGCTCTTTGGTCTTGGCCATAGTGGAGTTTGGAGTGTGACTGTTTGAGGTTGTGGACAGGTGTCTTTTATACTGATAACAAGTTCAAACAGGTGCCATTAATACAGGTAATGAGTGGAGGACAGAGGAGCCTCTTAAAGAAGAAGTTACAGGTCTGTGAGAGCCAGAAATCTTGCTTGTTTGTAGGTGACCAAATACTTATTTTCCACCATAATTTGCAAATAAATCATTAAAAATCCTACAATGTGATTTTCTGGATTTTTCCCCCTCAATTTGTCTGTCATAGTTGACGTGTACCTATGATGAAAATTACAGGCCTCTCTCATCTTTTTAAGTGGGAGAACTTGCACAATTCATGGCTGACTAAATACTTTTTTTCCCCACTGTAGTAATGCTGGCCAGAACACCATTTACTATTTACTACAACTTTTACCTCTACACAACTATTTACTACAACTTTTACCTCTACACAAAATGACTACAACTTGTACGTGTCGACAAACGAGTGACTACAACTTTACTCACACAAAGATTACTAGAACTTTACCTACAAAAACGATGGACACAACTTGACCGACACAACAGTACTACAACGTGCACGCTGACACAACTAGTTACGACAACTGGTTACCTCTACACAACATTTACAAACTTCACCTCTACACAACTATTTACACAACTTCACCTCTACACAACTATTACTGCAACTTTATTCTACCAACTATTTACTACAACTTTACCTCTACACAATATACTACAACTTACGTCGACACAACGAGTACTACAACTACCGTACACAATAAAAATGCACACAACAAAATTACCGCGACACAACTATTTACGACAACTTCACCTACACAACTATGACTACAACTTCACCCTACACAATAGTTACTACAACTTTTACCTCTACACAACTATTTACTACAACTTTTACCTCTACACAACTATTTACTACAACTTTCACCTCTACACAACTATTTACTACAACTTTTACCTCTACACAACTATTTACTACAAGTTTCACCTCTACACAACTATTTACTACAACTTTTACCTCTACACAACTATTTACTACAACTTTTGCCTCTACACATCACATTGTACTACAATATACTTTTATTACTATCCACTACTGCCTTTAAAACAGAGCGAAGTTAGATTATTTTCTACCATCTAAGTATCTTCACAATGAATGAGCACCAGTCTGAATACCCCTGTACATTTCTCTCCCAGCTATCAAAGGCCCATCATGGAGCCTGGTCCAGACAGGGCCAGGGCCAACTGGCAACGGCTCTGCAGCAAGGTCCGACTACAGCTGCAGCAGGTGAGACAGCCTGTGTGTGTGTGTGTGCGAGTGCGAGTGCGAGCGCGACATGGACTCATGGATAGACGTAAGTAACATAGTAAACGTAAATCCTCCATTTAGTATGATATGTTATGTTTCGTATGGTATTAATTTGTGGGTGGCCATCATCCATTTCGTATGATATGTTATGAATTACGATATGTATGACTTGTTACAAATTCCACTTTATGGTGGTTAATATTTGCTAGGAGGTTAACTTTAGCTAGGCTAGGGGTTAAGGTTAGGGTTAGGGGAAGGGTTAGCTAACATGCTAAGTAGTTACAAAGTACCTAAAAAGTAGTAAGTTCCAAAGGGTTCCAAAAAGGTTGCTAATTAGCCAAAATGCTAAAGTTGTCCGTGATTCGAACACCCAACCTTTGGGTTGCTAGACATTCGCGTTATATGCCCACCCATCCTCCCCAACCAACCTCCTTCCTTATATTTTAACCTTCTTTCTTATGTAACCATACCAAATGTAACATATCATACTAATTTTAGTGTCACAGATTTACATTTACTATGTTACGTCTAGTCTTTGAGACCAGGCTGGTGTACGTGGGTGAGTATGGATGGACTTTCTATGTGGCTGCTCTCTCCGTTTCTCGCCATAATGCTGTCACTCCTTCATATGTCCCTGCCCTGAAATGTATCTTCTGACATCTGTGCCTCTTCAGTTTTGTTTCATTCACTTCTTAATCCTCTGGTGGTCTGTCATTAATTCCAGTTTATATTATCCTTTAAATTGTAATCCAGTGGTTATTTTTGCCTGGCTTTATTTTGTTAAGATAATAGTTTGTTTACCCCTGTTTGTATACCATTTCATTTGTTTTCTTTTCAGTTTTTTTGCCACCCCCATAGCGATTTGCATGTTGTCCGTTCTGATTGGCCAGGGCTGGAGCCGACTGCCAGGTGGGTGTGTCCGTGGTTGCTTGTGAGCGCTGCTGGTGACAATAACGTGAATGTCAGTGTTTTTGCGTCGTGCTCTGAACACATAGAGAGATAAAGAGCATGTCTTCCTGTTATAGCACAGATAGAATTACTGGAATGGTACTGCAGATAAGGATCTGTCACAAATCCACTTTCAACCATGGCCTTCAAACACAAAGGCCTCCCGACTGACGTCAATGGACAGTGAAATCACCCGAGGCATCGCTCTCTTGTCTCTCTTCAGTGTTTTATGGCTGACATTATGGACTGTTTTCTGCCCAATTAAACACATCATTTTGATTTTATAGTAATAAACTGTGGGAGACTCCATCTTTGTTATTGTAGCGAGACAGACAGCTAGTGGCAGATATGAGATGTAGTAGACCTAATAAAACCATTTCCAGGCATACTATGTGCCAATCACTCCTCACCCTGTCTCACCCCTCTCTCCCCCTTATCTCCACAGGCAAGAGGGGAGTCGGTTGGGATTTGCTCCCTGTTGCTATCAGCAGGGTAAGTGTCTGTCACTATCACACCCACAAGCATGCTAATAAAGCTTCACAACATGAAAAAATAACACAACTGCATGACATTTTGAGCAAATAATTGGAGTGCAGTTGGTCCCAGATCTGTTTGTGTTGCATATGGTCATTGTCATACAAACATGGCTATACAGCATAAATCAATCTGGGATTAGGTTAAAGTATTTGTTGCTCTAATTTACAGTGTGTTTATATGTTAGTGGTGGAAGTGGATGAGGATTTTGTGATAATAGGAGTGCTGTGTTTGTGTGGTTTTTCCCCGTGCAGGGTGGGTGGGGCGCTGTATAGCATTGACAGCATGCCGGACCTCCGCAAGAGGAAAGCCATGCCTCTGGTCAGGGACCTGGTCAGTGTAAGTTCTCTCTATCTCTCTCTCGCTCTCTCTCTCTCTCTCTCTCTCTCCTCTCTCTCTCTCTCTCTCTCTCTCTCTCTCCCCCCCCCCTTTCTTTCCGGTCCCAGGGACCGTCACTCTGTCCTCTCCTCTCTCTGACTGCTCACCCTGGATGTGTGGTATGTTAACCAATTGAATGCTAGAGGAGAGTAGAGAAAATAATCCTGGATAGCTACATCCTGCTGTACTGTACGTGAACTCTTAGAAAAAAGGGTTATTTGGTTGTCCCCATAGGAGAACCCTTTTTGGTTCCAAGTAGAATCCTATTGGGCTCCAGATGGAGTAATGCCACAGGGGCTTACTAGGCTATTAAACTCACACCAAATAGATGGCCTAGTCCTTGTTCTATCCATCCTTGCCAATTGATCTGACTTCAAGGTTTTGCGTTGAATAGCTCTGACAAGCTGGAGGCCTGCCAGACTATACTTCCAGCCCAGCGCTCAGGTGGCTCGGGTCCAACGTGAGCTGTAATGAAGAATTACCATACCGGACAAAATCGCTCAGCACTTTGTCTCTATGAATCCAGCTTACTGTCAAACTGTACACCCCCCCACACACACACTAACTGCCTGAGTCTGATTCATCCAGACCAGGTAATGTGCTGACTGGAACTGAATCTGAATGTGCAACAAAGCCAGACTAATATTCGGCCAGTGTTCTCAGACACGGAAGTATGGGCAGGACGATGGCTCTCTCCCCTAATGCTGACTACCTGTGTCTCTCAGACAGTGTCCTAACTCTCTGGGTTTTAATGGTGTGTATACTTCAACATTGTTAAGGAAGTACGTTCGTTTTCCACTCTGTCCTTAAGGGCCTTTGTCCTACCCGTGTACAAGACTGTTTACATGCCATGTTTTCGTCTTGTGTGATTAATAGGTCTAGATCTTTCCTCCCACCCAGTATTTCATCAACAAAATCAATAACTCTCCCCGATCTAGTGATTTTTCTGTCCCTTGGCACATTTATCACGATCACTCTGTATCTGTTTTGAAATCGCCATTGTGGCCATGTTTGTGTCTGTAGCTAGAGTTGTTTGACATGCCCCTTTTAACACTTGTTTCTCGTTCTGTTTCCTCCTTCCTTCACATGCACTGTTACAGGCTATGGTGAGTAACACTGGGTTCCAAATGAAAAGGGAATGTTGAAGCACTTTCATTTCAGATACCCATGACCCCTTGTTTCTTATAAACACTTGGGGAGAATACAGCTGGACTGCATTATGACCTACTGGCTTAGATGCTGTACTGAGATGTATTTTGTTCCAAACTATGTTGAAAGATATTAAAGTATGTATCAAGAACAATATAATTTTCTCTTTGAGCAAAATCGAAGTTGTCACTATGTTTTAAAAGTGCTTATTGAATGTATTTCAATCCCAGTATGTACTGAACTACTATATTTTAATCTTATCTCTCCATTCATTGTCATTCACTCCATCCATTATTTTACCCCCCTGCCTGCCCTACCTCAGTCCCTGGCTCAGAACTCCAGGAAGGCAGGGATTACATCAGCCATGGCGTCCAGCACTCTCAATAATGAGGAACTGGTGCGTTTCTGGCTCTTTCTTTTCTCTACTCACAGTATATGCAGATAGTGAACTTTTTTCTCTCTCTCCATGTACTCATAGATTCCACTAAGTCTCTGACTATAACTTCTCTCTCCTCTTCTGTTTCCTTCTCTTGTAGAAGAGCCATGTGTACAAGAAGACCCTGCAGGCTCTGATCTACCCCATCTCCTGCACCACGCCCCATAACTTTGAGGTGTGGACAGCCACCACTCCCACCTACTGCTACGAGTGTGAGGGGCTGCTGTGGGGCATCGCCCGCCAGGGCATGAGATGTACCGAGTGCGGGGTCAAATGTCACGATAAGTGCCAGGACCTACTCAATGCTGACTGCCTGCAAAGTAAGTAGAGCCATGTTGATGTTGCTCAGTGAGTCGTAAAGTTTTGTTCAGTTAGTGCCAAAACATAATACAGTGCCCTCCACTATTATTGGCACCCCTGTTTAAGATGTGGTCGAGGACTTCCAAAAATTCTCCTTTTTTTTTAAACAACATAGAACCCAAATGCAAAAAAAGAGAAAAATCCAACCTTTTATTTAAGTACATTACTTTGGTGGTAAAAAATATTCACACATTTAGAAGAGAACATTTTTTTGAAATCATGTGTCCCACAATTATTGGCACCCCTAACAATTCCGCTGAAAATTTTAATTGATTTTTTTTTAAATATATTTTTCTGTAGTTGCTAAAGTTGGTCAGGGTATCTAGGAACTTTTAATTAGTAATTCATGACTTCCTGTTTCCCTGGGGTATAAATATGACGTGACACAGAGGCCTTATTCTCTTACCCATTTGTCAACATGGCAAAGACAAGAGAACACACCATTCAAGTAAGGCAGATTTGTGTCGACCTTCATAAGTCAGGCAATGGCTACAAGAAAATAGCCACTCGCCTTAACTTGCCCGTATCTACAGTCAGAGGAATCATTAAGAAGTTTAAAACAACTGGAACAGTGACAAACAAGGCTGGAAGAGGTCCCAAGTTTATCTTGCCACAACGCACAGTGAGGAGGATGGTAAGAGAAGTAAAAAAAAGTCCTAAGCTCACTGTCACAGAATTGCATCAAAGAGTGGCATCTTGGGGTCACAAAGTCTCCAAAACAACCATCAGACGCTCTCTACATGCCAACAAGCTGTTTGGGAGGCATGCAAGGAAAAAGCCTTTTCTCACTAACACTCACAAACGTAAACGTCTGGAGTTTGCTAAGCGGCACTGGGACTTCAACTGGGATCGTGTGCTTTGGTCAGATGAGACTAAGATTGAGCTTTTTGGCAACAAACACTCTAAGTGGGTCTGGCGTAAAACAAAAGATGAGTATGCCGAAAAGCACCTCATGCCCACCGTGAAGTATGGTGGAGGATCTGTGATGCTGTGGGCCTGTTTCTCTTCCAAAGGCCCTGGGAACCTTGTTAGGGTGCATGGCATTATGAACGCTTTGAACTACCAGGACATTTTAAATAAAAACCTGATGGCCTCTGCCAGAAAGCTGAAGATGGGTCGTCATTGGGTCTTTCAGCAGGATAATGATCCAAAACATGTGGCAAAATCTACACAAAAATGGTTCAGCAGTCACAAACTCAAGGTCCTCCCATGGCCATCTCAGTCCCCAGACCTCAACCCAATCGAAAACCTGTGGGGCGAGCTAAAGAGGAGAGTGCATAAGAGAGGACCCAGGACACTGGATGATCTAGAAAGATTGTGCAAAGAAGAATGGTCAAAGATCCCTCTCTCTGTGTTCTCCAATCTTGTGAAATGTTATAGGAGGATATTAAGTGCGGTCTTGTTGGCAAAAGGGGGTTGTACAAAGTATTAACATCAGGGGTGCCAATAATTGTGGGACACATGATTTCAAGTTAATTTTTTTCTAAATGTGTGATTATTTTTTTTTACACCAAAGTAATGTACTTAAATAAAAGGTTGGATTTTTCTCTTTTTTTGCATTTGGGTTCTATATTGTTTTTAAAAAAAGGAGAATTTTTGGAAGTCCTCGACCACATCTTAAACAGGGGTGCCAATAATTGTGGAGGGCACTGTATAGTGGTAAAACATGAAAAATAAAGTTGGAAAAAATGTGGTTATAGGTTTGTAGTACGGTAACTAACAACACCGAACATGTGAGGTTACTTCTGTCATTTACCTTACCGACTGCTGCTTTGGATAAGAGTTGTTAACTAAAAGGCCCCTTTGACTGTTATACTTCAAACTCTGTCCTCCTCTCTCCTACATCTCTCATCCCACTCTCCTTGTCCTCCCCCCTCTCATTTTCTCACTCCCACTCTGCTGTCTCTGGCACTTTCTATCTTGTTTGGTTTTTCTGGAAAGGAAATTAAAAGCCATTTTTCTTTCCTTGACATCCTCTCCACCTTTCCAACTCTTCATGGGCGTTTCACAGGTCTGCAGATACTGCCAGAGTACACATCCATAAATCATACTGTGTACTCTGTCTCACAGTGTTCTGATGATAGGGCACATTTGTTCTTATAGATCAAATCTAATCAAGATGTATTTGAAGTGCATTTAAAATTGCAACGTATTTTACAGCAAAACAATAAAAAATGCAGGAGATGAAGTAAAAAAACGACAGAAGGCAATAAAAGAGATGAATAAAAGAACAATAAAACAAAAAGAACAGTAAAAACATAACATGGTTGATGTTATGCATCATTTGTATACATTCATCCAATGTTTATTCCCTTCAACCCAAAGAAAACTGTTCATGTCCTCCACACAGCATAATAAAAACCTTCTAACTTCGAATGTAACTCGATGAATCAAATCTGACCCTCATCGCTCTTGTCTACCTCAGGGGCAGCGGAAAAGAGTTCTAAGCATGGGGCGGAGGACAGAACCCAGAACATCATCATGGTTCTGAAGGACAGGATGAAGATCCGGGAGAGGAACAAGCCAGAGATCTTTGAGCTGATCCAGGAGGTGTTTGCCATGGTCAAAGCCACTCACGTCACCTACATGAAGCAGATCAAACAGAGCGTACTAGACGGCACCTCCAAGTGGTCGGCCAAGATCAGCATCACAGGTGAGAGAGAGAGAGGGAAGATACCAGGGCTTCAGAGGGAGTGCTGATCTAGGATCAGGTCCTCCCTGTCCGAATCAGAATCACAAAAATGATCTTATTCATTATGATCTAAAAGGCCAAACTGATCCAAGCAGTCCTATTCTGAGACGCTTTGTGAATAGTATGAGTCCAGAACCATCCATTTGTAAAGCTCTGGCAGATGCCATTGGGAGTCTGACTCCATCACGAGTCACGACACACATCATCCACCTCTCTCCTCTTGATTGTTTGCGTTCCAGTTCTATTTGTTGTAAAGGTCATACTGTGCTGTAGACCGTTGAGTCACTGTCTGACACGAAGGAGACGAATCAGATAAGTCCCTTGAACGTCTATATGAGGAGGGATGAGTGATATTCGTCTGTAGGTAGGAAGGGCAAAAAATCAGAATAGGTCAATGGGAGTATATGGAAGGGAGAACTCTCTCCACCTAGCCTCATAAACTAGACTGACCGCTGTGTAGTGGTCCGTCTGTTTAAACAAGCTATGCTCCAGCCACACTGACCACCTGATGCTGTCCCCTCCACAGTGCTGTGTGCCCAGGGCCTTCAGGCCAAGGATAAAACCGGCACGAGTGACCCTTACGTCACGGTCCAGGTGGGCAAGACCAAGAAGAGGACCAAGACCATCTACGGCAACCTCAACCCTGTCTGGGAGGAGAACTTCAACTTGTGAGTACTATAAGAGAGAGAAAGTACTGGACTGAAATAACATTGAAGGTTGTGTATTCACAGGTTATGAATGGGTCACAATTAATGCATATGTCCAACTCTGAACCCATATGAATAGATGGGATTGGTGGGTCCTTCAAACAGGAAATGACATAGTGGCGTCTTCCTGTCTCGCTCTCTCTTTCTCTCTGTAGTGAGTGCCACAACTCCTCGGACCGGATCAAGGTGCGGGTGTGGGACGAGGATGATGATATCAAGTCTCGGGTGAAACAGAAGTTCAAGAGGGAGTCAGATGACTTCCTGGGTCAGACCATCATCGAGGTCCGCACGCTGAGCGGAGAGATGGACGTCTGGTACAACCTGGGTCAGTAGGGGAAAGACCTGGGGAAACATTCACTTTGTTGAAGCTCTACTTGTAATTCTAATACTATGTGTCAATTAATCCCATAAGGGATTGGTTGCCAACTGGCGATTTGACATGAAAATAAAATGTCATTCATTCTAAACTAATAAACCAAATCATTGAGTCCATAAAATGACTTTCTAGGTATCCATTAGATGAGGCACACTTGGTGAACTAATTTGGGTGAAAGGTTGAGGTCTTTATTAAAGATAGTTGTTGTTAGGTTGACTGTGGTATGTGTTGACTGAGGGTCTTGTCTTTTGTCCCTCTCTGCAGACAAGCGTACAGACAAGTCAGCCGTGTCTGGTGCCATCAGGATGCACATCAATGTAGAGATCAAAGGAGAGGAAACAGTCGCTCCATATCATGTCCAATACACCTGTCTGCACGAGGTAAGCTGTGTGTGTGTGTGTGTGTGTGTGTGTGTGCGTGATTATGCGCGCGAGCGTGTGTGTGCTCATGCCTTCAGGTGGCAAGTGAGATTAATGAGCCCAGTCATCTTGGTTCATTTAGCTGACTGATGTAGCAGTCTTTCATTGAAGTGGCCGTTTCAGATTAAACAGAAGTTAATATCCCATAAAAGTGTCACTGTCTGCATTGCTCTATCAAGATTAAGACCACATCAGATATAAAATACCACAGCTATTTCTCCCTCCGACCTTCTTCAAATATGGAATTATCTACCATAGTTATGCTAAATGATCATTCCCTATATCAGAGTTCTCCAAGTTTTGTGAGACCAATATTTTATTTTTTTAGTTCATTTTATTTTGTATTTTATTATTGGACATTAAAAGACTGTAAAATAAAACCAGCAAATCAGCTCCAAGTGATTTTAATTTAGGAAATCTGTTCCAAAGTATTCCCATGCATAATAGAGAGATATGTGATCATATACAAAGTTTGAAATTATTATGTTTTAGTCAAATATTATATCTGTTTGGGCTTCTTGCGGTCAATTTGCAGTATACAAACTATTTGTAATTATGTTCTGTCCCCCTGACCATACGCTCAAGAAAACCCATGGCTAAATCTAGTGGATGATCACTGTCCTATATCGAGTCATTACTTGGTCCATTACTCAGGACATAGTTTGCAAACAACTGAACCTAAACAGAGCTAAAAGTACTATTGAATTGCACTGTAAATAGATGATCTGTAGCAAATTCTCTTAATCTACACAATGGCTTAACACACATTGTAATGGTGAGTCGTCGCACTGCATGATTCAGATCTTTATGTACTCTCTAAGCAGAAACGGACAAACACGATTTGAGAAAATGAACTGCAATTTTTAGTGGCACCAGTTGACTTTTAGCTAGGTCTTTTTAATTTGTCTAAATTTGCACTAAGAATTTGAACATAAAATCAACTGATCCATTTCTAATGAAAGTCATGTAATGAATGGCAGCCCTGGCCTGAATTAATAATGAATTGAACAACCCACTGAGCACTGAGCAGTCAGTCAGTCAGTTATAGAGTATGACGTGCTCTGCTCTGCTCTCCTGCTCAGACATATTCACCCTGAGATCATGCCCACCTGTATTCAGCCTTAGCCATTTCAACTCATTGAAATCATAGTCTGGATTGATTAAACCCTGCATTTCTCTTCCTCACTCTCTCTCCCTCCCCAGAACCTCTTCCACTTTGTCACAGATGTGCAGAGCTCTGGTGTTGTGAAGATTCCTGATGCTAAAGGGGATGATGCGTGGAAGGTGTACTTTGATGAGACTCCTCAGGAGATAGTGGATGAGTTTGCCATGCGCTACGGAGTGGAGTCCATCTACCAGGCTATGACGTGAGCTCAAATTTACCCACCCTGTCACTGGCACTTAGCAATAGCATACACATTGCCAGATTGTAATGTGTTGACGAGGGCACATAGTTCATAGTTGTGTTTAGGATGATACTGTGGTATAACATCACAAGGGAATGCTTGGGTTTTATATGAGTCAGCTTCATTAATACCAAAGTGATAATGTTTATGCCGTGTGTGTGTTCTCCCTCAGTCACTTTGCCTGCCTGTCGTCTAAGTACATGTGCCCGGGGGTTCCCGCGGTAATGAGTACCCTGCTGGCCAACATCAATGCCTACTACGCCCACACCACCCAGGCCACCAACAACGTGTCGGCCTCTGACCGCTTTGCCGCATCCAACTTCGGGGTGAGTCACCCCAAATTAATGAGGGGTGGATAGAGACAAAAAAGATAATGCAATGCCTCAACTCCGTGTTTAAGGTGAGCCAATGGATATGCTAGCTCTTAGGCTAATGTGTTGTGGTGTTTAATTTTTTTTTTTATTACAGAAAGAACGATTTGTGAAGCTCCTGGATCAACTCCACAACTCTCTGAGGATTGACCTGTCCATGTACCGGGTAGGCTACTCTTGACTTTCACTCTTCTATTTCTCTCTCTGTCTGGTTTTCTATCCGTGTCCTTACCTACCTTTATCTCCCTCTTTCTCATTCAATCTAGTCTCTACTGTCTCTCTCTTGCTCGCTCGCTCTCTCTCTCTCTCTCTCTCTCTCTCTCTCTCTCTCTCTCTCTCTCTCTCTCTCTCTCTCTCTCTCTCTCTCTCAAGCAAAAGTCTCATCTTTGTCTGCAGTTAGAACAGTCCCATAAGATAATTAGACATCTCATAGTGGCTGGGTCTCAGTGCAGGGAGACCTCTCTCCTTCTCTCTCTCTACAAAACA